GGTTGCATATGCCTTTTGCCAGAGAGGTTTTACAGTTCCTAGGCCAAAGCCTCCTCTGCCTTTTTGGACGTGGCCCACCAAGTCACGATGGAGAAGAGCAGATTTGGCCTGTAGCACAGCTGTGGCTGAGGTCCACTTCTTCCCTGTTGCAAGGGTAGGAGCGGCTTTTCTTACCACAGGGTCCCGGGAGTCAGTGAGGGACATATCTCACCTTCTCAGTCTCACCTTGGCACACTTGCTGCTTAGGCATTTGGGCAGACCGAGCCACGTCCTCACGTGGGAATTCACTAGCCTTTCCAGTCGATAGGCATGGCTAAGCGAGACCTCGTACATGGTCAGTGGCCACAAGAGTCTAGGTAGCAGCCCAAACTGATAACACCAGAGCTTCAGTTTCCCCGGCAGTGCAGTGTTGTTGATTTGCTTAAGGCCCTTAGCCACGTCCTGCCAGAGTTGCTCGATTTGCTGGGTGTCTTTGAGGTCTGCGTTATACCATCGTCCGAGGCTCTTGATGGGCTTCCCTAGGACTGTTGGAATCGGTTTATCGCCCCTTCTGCTCGCCTGTTAGTTGGCCTTTGATGACAGAGATGCTACAAGACTTACTTGGCTTGAACCCTATTCTTGCCAACTGGATATTTTCTTGGAGTTTCTGAAGCAAACGTCTAGTGCATGGTTTTGTTGTTGTGATGATGGTCATGTCGTCCATGTAGGCTCTAATTGGTGGAAGACGCAGACCACTCTTGGTCCTCTCACCTCCCACTACCCACCGAAATGCCCGTATGATCAGCTCCATTGCCACAACGAATACCAGAGGGGAAATTGTGCAACCTGCCATGATGTCGATCTCCAGATGCTGCCAGGCAGTGGTGTTGTTCTCAGATGTTACACAGAACTGGAGATCCTGAAAGTAGCTCTTGACCAACTCTGTGATGTGGTTTGGTATGCCAAAGTAGTTGAAGGCCGTCCACAAGATCTTGTGAGGGACTGAGCCGAAGGCATTGGCTAGGTACAAGAACACCACATGTAGGTCTCTCCGTTACTTCTTTGCAGTTTGTATCTGGTGCCAGATGATATTAGCATGCTCCAGACATCCTGAGAAACCCAGGATCCCGGCTTTCTGCACCGATGTATCAACAAAGTTGTTTCTTTGCAGGAATGTAGCGAGCCTTTGGGCCAGGACACTGAAGAAGATCTTTCCCTCTACATTCAGAAAGCTAATCTGGCGAAACTGGCTGATGGATGCAGAGTCCTTCTCTTTGGGGATTAGGATACCTCCTGCTCTTCTCCATGTTTTCGGTATCACCCCCTTCTGCCAAGTCACCTTCATCAGCTTCCAGAGGTATTTAAGGACTCCGAGGGTGTTCTTATAGAACCTATAGGGGATACCATTGGGCCCAGGTGCTGATGCTGATCTCGCCTTCTTCACAGCCTTCTCCTCCTCGCTCCATGTGGGAGGCCTTACGTCCATTTGATGTTCAGGTGCATGAATTGGTGGTATGTCATTCGGAATCGTGACAGGCCCATGCCTCTGATCATCAGAGTATGTCTTTCTCAGGTGCTCTTCCTGATCTATTATGGGCACTTTGAGACTCCCTCTCTTTTCTCGGTCAAAGAGGCCTTTAACAAAGCTGTAGGGATTGCTGTAGAGGAGGGTCCTTGTCCGTTCTTTCCTCTTGCGTTGTCATCTGAGGTGCTCTGATCTTCTCAGCTTTGTTAGTCGCTGCTTTATCTCGGCCTGCAGGTCGTCAAGTCCCACTCTTTCCATTTCTGTGTCCTTCCTCCACTGCTTTCTCAGTTGTCTTCTTTCTTTCACCAACTTATCAATTTCCCGCTGCTTCCTGGACTTTGACTGATTTAGAGGGCCTTTCTGCTGCCTCTGTGTTTTACCCTTTATCCAAAACCGCTCAGCACCATAGCTGTAGATGATGGATCCCATGTTCTCCAGTTTTCTCTCAATCAGACCCTTCTGTTGTTCTAGTAGGAGGACCAGATCTAAATCAATGGTCTCCCACTCTCTCTTCTGGCTGGACTTGGGCCATAGGACCTGAGGTTTCCTTCCTTCCATCTTCATCTTCCTGGCAGCAGCTGGCTAGGTGTTGGGCTGGAGGCTGGTGTTGACTGTGGCTGGCTAGGCTCTGGGCTGGAGACTTCTCCTGGCTGTAGCTCGTTGGACTCTGGGTTGGAGACTACTGCTTGGTATTGCAAGCTTGGCTCTGGGGTAAGGACTGGTGTTGGCTGTCGATTGCTGGACTCTGGGCTGGATACTGCTGCTGGCTGTTCCTGGCTGGGCTCCGGACTGGAGTCTGTTGGAGGGTCTATGGGATGTTAAGCTTCATCTGAGGTTCTGATACCCTGAGGACTGTGGGGGTTCTCCTGCCTCTGGGCTTCACTCGACTGATTTGGCCGACTCCTTAAGAAGTATTGGTTAATGCGAGACCCCTTGCTGAGGTTGGTGAGGCATTTCTTTAAGCCTTGATGAATTTTAAGGCCCCTTGCTATTGTTAGTTTTGACCAGCCACAGATGCAGTTGTGCAGCTCTTGTCCTGCCAATGTTGTCATCCGTTGCAGTGCTGGTTCTTCTATTCAATGTCAGTTCAGTTCCATGGTCTGTCACCGTGAGATCCGTCCGTGATGGGTCATCTTCCGCCCCCGCTCTCGCAGACCCTGGGGGTATTTTCTTCTTTGAGTTTTTTTTTGGCATTGATGGGTGGATCCAGGAACGCTAATCAGTGCTGGGTCCTGCCGGTGTGAGTCGCTAACCCACACTAGCCCCGTTTGGGTCTATTCCCTCCTGTCAGCAGTCTTTCCAAGCCATCATCTGGTCTTTCCCTGATTGTCAGCTGCTCTTTCGCAGCGGTCACTGGATCACACCAGACTTCAAGGTTTGATAAAAGGACTAGATGTTGCAATCCCTAATGAATACACATTTATACGTTGCATTTCACTTAACTTTACTTTTTTTATTCTCAACATTTTTGCGTAGAGATCTGAGTTCTGCGTAGAGAATTGTGTAGAGATCTGAGTTCCCTTTCTGTCAGTCACTTTCGACGTTGTGTCAAAATACTGACACTAGGGGGTCACTCTTGAGAGCCCCAATCACCTCTGATGTTGTCACACTCACAGAAGAGACAAAGACAGATGGTAAGGTGAAATGGTTTATTCGAGCAAAAGCAGAGTGATGGGACAACAGCGGGAACCAGACGGATGGTGACTTGATGATAAGTGATGACTGGAGATCTGGATCCGGATGACGGACAGGAGAAAGACGGAAGAAAGGAGACTTAACAGGACGATCTCAGGTCAGTGTTCAGGTAAGGAGTTTAACTGTTTACGTAGCAGTAACGTTGACGAGACCAGACATGCGTGATGTGAGGGTGATGCAGGTTGATCAAGGCTGTGTTGATGAGGGAGAGCAGGGGCAGGGAATCAGTATCTGGGGATGATCAGCAGCAGGTGGGGTGATGGCTGGCTGAGTGCAGGTGGGGACCAGAAGGGATTCTGGGAAGTGTAGTGCAGACAGGTTACAGAGTTGGTGACTGAGGTGCCGACTGTGACAGACGAATTCAGAAAAGGCCAATGAGAATTTGCTGCTGGAGAAGGAAAACAGAACAGTACATTTGTCTCTCTCCTTAGAAGCTTCCATTTACTTAAAAAAAGACTGAGATACACCTCAGCTGCTTCACCTCCTGGTCTGTCTACCTCTTGCCTCTTGGCACGAGGCTTTAGCAATGGGCGCTGAGGGTGAGCAAAGAGATGATAGGGGGATCTTCTATCAGGTGAGTGCCTGCGGGTTTACCTTTCTTCCAACCAGTCGTGTCTTCCGGCTGAGTTTGGCGGCTCATCCCAGGGTGAGCTTAATTTCTCATTCATGCGTCATGAGGAGGATGAGTCAATGATCGCTGCATTCGATTGATCCCTTCTGAGGCTAAAGGCTCGGCTAGGCTGCCACCCAGTTTGAGGTGGATGCTGAGTTGGTGGCCATGCTATCTCGGGCAGCCGGGAGCGTCTGGCTTGAGTGTTCTCGGCTAGATGATTGGTTCCTGGGTTCCTTTTTTTCCTGGAGGTGCATGAGGAGCTGACGCAATTTAATGGAAGGCACTTTTTTCTGTTAGAACACGGTATACATGCTCCACTGTCCTCACAACCATTGATGATTGGGTGGCGCGGGAGCATTTAGCAGTTCCCCTGAACTTGGTTTACTGTCCATCCCTCGTTTCCGGTAGTCTACAGTAGGTGGAAGGTCTTTCAGTACTAATGCACCTCAACTATGGAGTTCGCTACCTCTTACACTACATAATGCCTCATCTGTGGTTACATTCAAGACCCAGTTAAAAACATATCTTTTTAACATGCGTTTTGGATAATGTGATTATATATGTCCTATGTGACTGTAATGTAAATGTGGGTGTCTAAATATATTGTATGTACAATGTAAAGCGACCTTGAGCTTCTGGAAAGGCGCTAAAACTTATTCTTCTTCTTCTGTCACGCTGTTTTAAATTACAGTGACACCCTTATCATTTCAGTACGAGGTGAAGAAACGGTTTTACATATCTGTACTCAAGAAGCGTGGGGTCTTCGAGTTCTGAATCAAGCCTTTTACAGGCTCCCGTTCAAGATGCTCACTCTGAAACATGTGCTCACTCACGTTAACGTGTGAGATCCCAGGATTGGATTCACAGCGATAGGCCTGAAGGATACAGGATAGCATACCATAGGATGCATACTTTTATATCTCGATCCTTCCGTTTCTTCAGTTTCCCTTTGAAGGGCAGTACAAGGTCCTTTTCTTTGGGCTGTCCATGTCTCCTCAGGTCCTTACCAAAGTCGGGTTTAAGACATTAAAGTCCTGGATAATGGATGGGGGATGTTGACCCAAAAATGTTGAGAATCACTTAGATGGACTGTTGTAAATAGTTTAAACTTTAGGTTCAATACTTGTTCATTGTGGTCCCAAATTTAATAAGACGTTGTTAATCTCTAAACTCTATTGTCATTTGCAGGTGATGAAGATTCATCCTCAGATCCAGGATGTTTGAGAATCTTGCTGTTTGGAAGGAGAAGGAATGGAAAGAGTGCCACAGGAAACACAATCCTCGGAAACAAGGAGTTTCACATTGAAGACAGTACAGATCCAGTGACCACTGTTTGTAAGAAAGGAGTTGGCGAAGTTGATGGTAAATCAGTAGCTGTTATAGACACTCCAGGACTCTTTGACACCTCGCTGAAAAATGAACAAGTGGGTGAAGAAATAGTGAAGTGTATTTCACTGTCCGCACCTGGACCTCATGTGTTCATCATTGTGTTGAGTTTGGGAGAAATCACTCAAGAGGAGAGAGACACTTTAGACATGATAAAGATGATATTTGGCTCAAAAGCAGCAGATTTCTGCATTGTTCTCTTCACTAAAGGAGATACTCTGAAAAAACAAACAATACAACAATATGTCGAGACAAGTAGAAATGCTGAACTCAAGAAACTGATCAGTGACTGTGGAAACAGATTCCTGGCCTTTAACAACCGAGAAACACAAGATCGGACGCAAGTTACTGAGCTGTTAAAGATGATAGAAGAGGTGAAGGAATCTAACGAGGGCCGATACTTCACTAATGAGATGTTTGAGGAGGCAGCGATCTCTATTGAAAAGAGAAGGAAAATGCTGAACGAGAATAAAATAGAAAATCAGGATCAAGTTGAAGAATTAGAGGCCAGAAATAAGATGGAAGTCAAACGCATGAGAAAGAGACTGGAGGAGAAGAAACTAAAGACAGACGAGGTGAGAGAGAAACTGGAGAACAAGTTCAGAGAAAAAGAGGAAACACTGAGGAGAGAGTTTGAGGAGAAAGAAGAATCAGACCAAAAGAAACGAGAGGAAGAGGAACAGAAGCGATCAGAAGAGGAAAAACAGAGAAGAGCTGAATATGATCAAAGAATAGAAGAGATGGAGAGAGAGATTAAAAATCTGAGATTACAGTATGATACACAGCTAAGAAAAAGAGAAGAGGAAGATAAGAAGAGGGAAGAAGAATATAAACAAGATCAAGAAAAGATGAAAACTGAGCAGGAACGCATCATGACAAAGTTAAGAAGAAAACAGGAGGAGGAAATAAAAAAGAGAGATTTAGAGGAACAAACGAGGAAGAAACAAGAAGAGAAAGAGAGAGAAGAATGGAAGATAAAAATAAAAGAGGCGGAAGATGATGAAGAGATTCAAGAGCGAATTAAACGACAGCAGAGGGACTGGGAGGAAGAGAATGAACGACAGATGAGAGAACGAGAGGAAGAGGATCGAAAGAGAAACGAGAGACACGAGAAACAACTGAGAGAAAAACAAGAAGAACTGGAGAAAACGAGAGTGAAATTTGAAACTGAGAGAGAAGAAGAACAGATGATAGAGGGGAGAGAAAAACAGAAAAGAGAGAGAGAAGAAAAAGAGAGAGAATATGAAGACAGGAAAAGGGAAATGAAAATACATTATGATGAGCTGGAGCGAGAGAGAAAAGAGGAGCGGAAGAGAAGAAAACAAGAGGATGAAGAGAGACGAGAGGAGAAGAGAAAGAGATGGGAGAAAATGATGAAAGATCTGAAACGAGAGCTGGAAGAAGAGATCAAGAGAAGAGAAGCAGAGGAGAGAGACCAAAGAGAAAGAGAAGAAAAAGAGCGTGATGAAATGAAACAGAAATATAAAGAGGAAATAGAGAAGATGAAGAAGAAACATCAATATGAAGCCAGAAAAGAAGAAGAAGAATTGAATGAGATCAAAGAGCGAAAAAAGAAGCATATTGAGGAGTTCAAGGGGAGGCTCGAGGAAGAACTGAATAAAGTGAAAAAGTTAAGAGAGGAGCTGAAAGAAAAATGGTCATGTCTTGTCATGTGAAACAGTTTAACACATGACCGATGAGCCAGATAAATGGCGCTTGTCTTTTGTAGTAAATTCTCTTTTTTTGTATTTACACAATGAAGGCTCTTCAGATCCGCTCCTGTAACCCTGCTCCTGTTTTTAAATATAAATATTGAAGATATTCAAGAGGAAATTAAACGACAGCAGAGGGACTGGGAGGAAGAGAAGAAACAACAGATGAGAAAACGAGAGGAAGAGAAGAGAAAAGAGAGACATAAGAAACAACTGAGAGAAAAACAACAAGAACTGGAGAGAACGAGAAAGAGATTTGAAACTGAGAGAGAAGAAGAAAGAAAGATTATAGATGATGAGAAACAGAAACTGATAAGAGAGAGAGAAGAAAAAAGAGAGAGATAATAAAGAGGAGAGAAATGAAATGAAAAGATGTTATGGTCAGTTAGAGCAAGAGAGAAAAGAGTGTGAGAAAAAGAAAAAAGAGAGGATGAAGACAGAAGAAGGGAGAAGAGAAGGAGATGGGAGAAAATGATGGAAGATCTAAAACAAGAGCAAAAAAGAAGAAATCAAAAGAAGAGAAAGAGAGGAGAGAGACCAAAGAGAAAGAGAAGAAACGGAGTGTGATGAAATGAAACAGAAATATGCAGAGGAAATAGAGAAGATGAAGAAGAAACATGAAGATGAAGCCAGAAAACAAGAAGAAGAATTGAATGATTTTAGAAAGAGAAAAGATGAGCAGGTTCAGGAGCTCAAAGAGAGACTTGAACAACTGCATGAAATGATAAGGTTAAGAAAGGAGACAAAAGAAAAATGGACATGTCATATCATGTGAAACATGTTTAAAGATTATTGATTCATAACATGGTTCTTGTCTTTTGCATTATATGTGAATGGGGTTTTCTATATTTCTCTTTCTCTCTATTCACTTGATCAGGGTTCTTCAGATCTGCTCCTGTAACCCTTCACCTGCCGCTCCCATCATACCATCACTATGACAGTTTTGAGAGCGTTTAAGTTTTTATTTACTTTGGATTTTGTCATTTTTAATTATTTATAACATGATCATTGTAATCAACATTATTCTGAAATTACGCTGTACTTTCACGTATTTACTGGTGACAAACTCATTAAAAAATAAAATTCCTTATTCCCACAGGTCATGTGATGCTGTTAGTCCTTCATCAGGGAGACTCCGTACTGTAACCAAATAATACACTTTACAAACCATTTAACAACAGATTAAAGCAGATTTTTCGATAATTGTTCTGTTTGTAAAGAAATATACTCAGCATGTTGTTCATTATTCATCATTAGAAGTTTGCATCCCAAACAGAGATGATGAGATAATGGTATCGTTTTCAAAAGTTTGCATTTTGAAGCCATCAAAACACGGTTGTTGTGTAAATTAACTGCAAAAAGCATCAGTGATGTAAACAGCCACTAAAGTACATAAAAATAAAAATGAATACTTAATTTTATGTAATCTAATCTAACCCTTTAAATACTTCAGAAGTAAATAAAAACTGAATGAGTAAAATCTGACAAAACTTGACAAACTGTGACGGACTAACTCAATTTAATTGAATCTATTTTAGTTAGCCACTAACCAGCTATGGTTTTAGCCTATCCTCAACATAACATAAAGCTCTAACTGAAACTCTTATGACCAATGCTACCAATACAAGTAAATGTACCAATACATTAGTGCAGCTGTGTGGTAAATACTGCGCTGCGAGTCTGACTTTTAAAACGTGTGACATTATTGTACCAGTTGGATGTGTTGTTCCCATTAGAGATTAATTTTTTCGAATAAAAACCCATTGAAAATAGATTTCCTGACGCTTAATCCGATGAAAGGTTTCTTCCCATCATTGATAATTATTCATATGAATCTAGATTTGTTTCTCCATCGGCAGCTGGCAATGTAAAATCAATCATTTAATATGGATCTTGCCCACTGGTACAAACTAACACTGATGCTCTATATTTCTGGATGCTTAAAACAACATTAAACAATGTTGCCACAATCACATATTAAAAGCAAGTTTGGGTATAGAAGTTGTTCATTTATAGTTAGAGGTTGAGCTCTAGTTAGCTAGTTTGAAATGTTTTAAATGTGAAGTCATCATTATGGGGATCAGTGTTAAATTTAGTAGTATGCAACAGTGTTGTGGTCAGATAAGCAGGTATTGCCTCCTGTTGTTTTCTGTGAATCATTGTGATACTGCGTGTAATCGCTAGAGGGCAGTAAAACCTAGTAATAAGAGGACCTAGTGAAGTGATGAAGAAGTTCCCACATTAACAATGCTTTCTACATGAAAGACAGACGTTTGGATTTAGCTTTTATTTTCGTTCTTTAAGATCTTACAACATCACAAACTGGAGATGAGGAAACCCTACACTGCACAGTGAACTGGTTTGCTTTGAATTGGGAAGGAGTATTTGAATTTCTGGGATATTTTTCTTATAAATTTGTATTTCTGTTTTTTTGTTTTTTTGTTGAACTTCTCATTTGTGAACAGTTTCTATGAATTGAGCTTTGCTGTTAGTGTGTTAATACATCATCCATATATTAAGTGTTCCTACTTTTTTGTTATTGTATGGTTGACTGACTCAAAGAAGTTTAGTCGGTTTAATCTCCTGCAATTAATTAGGTCAATCCGCGACATTGGTTTGCTGTTACCATCAGAATGTCTGTTAATCCCACCGATGCCTCTTGACAAGCGGCTGCGTGTGTTTGGCAAATACTTAATAGCGATTAATTTGATGGGCGATGCTTGGCGAGAAGTCCTCAGAAGTGCCACCTTACTCCATTGTTTGGGTACGGAGCCACGGCGGATATTTTCAGAAACAGGATCAGAAACAGGTGAAATGCACATTCCGGTTATTTGACAACAAATCTACTTACATGATACACGATCAACTACTGAAACGCTTGTTGACTAATAATATTAGAGAAAGGTTGCTGGAGTCAGACCTAACATTGGACATACAGTCAAAAGAAAATTGATTCAGACATCAGATATCATTTTTTAAATATTTTTTTGCTAGTGTGTGCAGGTCACTGGTTGAGCTAAACTGGTATTATCTAATTGTGTAGTTCAATTTAACAGCTGATGGATATATCCAGATAGTTCTGCTCATATTTTATCACCACCTTCTTAGCTATAGCAAATAAACTGTGATAATGTGAGAAATGTTGAAGCTGTCTGGACAAATGTTTGACTAGCTGTAACTAGCAACGCAGCTGGAAGCTAATGCTAATCAAGCCCAAAAAAAAAAAAAAATGATTTCAGAGGTGTTTTGGATGAGGGAATTCGAGTACAGACTGTGCACTGTAAATCACAATGTTAATGTTTCACCGAGATATTTGCGATTTTTCTCCCGAGCTCGTGGCGCTATTTCAGAGCGCGGGCGACGGTTTTTTTTTTATCTCCGCGAATACTCCGCCAAAAATGACGAAACGCATATGGTTTTGTTCAGTTCGGCGAGACGGTTAAAATGAGCCCGTTCAGTTTTCAACGAGATATTTTGCATTTTTCACTTCCGGAGGGGCTTTGGGTCTAATCTAATGCTATAATGCTAATCAAGCCAAAAAAGAAAAAAAAAAATGATTTCAGGGGTGTTTTGGATGAGGGAATCCGAGTACAGACTGTGCACTGTAAATCACACAAAACTACAAACTAACAGCACCAGGCACAAGCTGTGAAACTGATGCTCAATCAGGGAGAAGAGGCACTTGCATGCGTGTGGGACATAGAAAAGTGTTGCATGTGTTTGTGTGGAGCCAACGCTTCTCTTTGCAAAAGTGGAACCTAAACTTATAGCTGAGTTCCCATCTTGTCTCTGACTTTGACAGTGCTTGTCCCTGGTATAGTAGCTCTTCGTGAACAGATTAGCAATGTCTGGCCTCCTTCCAATACGAATCTAATGCCCTACTACAATATGAGTGATGAGCTCTCAGTTTAGGTCTATTACATCTTCCGTTGTCCAGATTAGTGGTGCCTAATGCCCATGAGAGACACAGAGGGATCGTACACATTCAACAACGATATATGTATACAGTGATAGGCGTCGTATTCCTGTACGTAGACCTGGATCAGCGGAGAGTCACTGATGCGAGCTTGACTAACCTAACCTGTTTGTTGACAGACATAGACAGATAGATAGATAGATAGATAGATAGATAGATAGATAGATAGATAGATATACAAACAGATAGATAAATGGATAGATAGATAGATGGATAGATATACAAACAGACAGATAGACAGACAGACAGACAGACAGATAGATAGCTAAGTAGAGGTCATGATCTCAGGTCAGTGGGTCGTTCTGACACTCATCTCGGATTCCCCGTAAGTGGAATTAATTCACGGTAATGTCCAGAGCGGAAGAAAACAGCCAGCGAGTGACGTCAGTGCTAATTGGTCGGGATACACTCCTGTCCTGCATGCTGAGCCAGCTCTCAGTGTGTGTCGGCGTGAGGAACCGATGAGCGCTCTGTCCTGAAGCATCATGGGGAACCAGCCCGGCATGACTGTGACGGAGCTGACCGCCTGCCACTCGCACAAGTGGTACCGCAAGTTCATGACCGAGTGTCCGTCCGGTCAGCTCACCTTCTACGAGTTCAAGAAGTTCTTCGGGCTGAAGAATCTGTCCAACTCCTCAAACGAGTACGTGGAGACCATGTTCAAGACCTTCGACATAAACGACGTAAGACGATCTGTTTTTATTCTATTTGTTATTAATAGCTCTGCGTAATGTTATCATTTAATGTTATCCTTTTTTTTAAACTGTGTTGAACTTAATCAGTTCTCATGAAATCTTAGTTAATATTAATTTCAACATTTACTTGAAATAAATGCACTATAAACGAACAATGAACAGCTGGATTATTATTAACTAACATTAACACGGATTAATAAACACTGTAACTAATGTATTGCTCATTGTTAGTTCATAAATCGTCAACTAATGAACCTTACACTCTAAAAAATGCTGGGTTGTTTTAACCCAATTTTGGGTAAAATATGGACAAACCCAGCCGTTGGGTTAAAAATGTAATTTAAAAATGTATCCCAATGGCTGGGTTTGTCCATATTTGACCCAAAATTGGGTTAAAACAACCCAGCATTTTTTAGAGTGTATTGTCAAGTGTTACCCCTGATTCATTCAACCAAGAGCCCAAACAGATCATAGCCGATATATAGAGTTGAATGAACAACTCATCGGTCAGAGATGAGTCAGATTGCTTCGTTTCTGTTGATGATGCTGGTTAATGAGATCTGTGGTAATACCGTACACTCAGATCAAACATTAGCACTGCACAAGGTCACAGGGCTTGCCTAAGACCCAATACAGCCGGTAATCTGGTTAATAGGAGTCTTTCATTCACGTCACAACACTTTCCACGAACATCAATTAAGTCAGTAACGTTTTATTGACCTCAAAGCTTTTTTCAGGTTATTTCAGGTTATCATCAAACTTTTCTTGTCTAGTCTCTTCTGCTCTATATTTCTGTGTCCGTGGGATAAATAATCAAACAGTGACCAGCTGAGTGCATGCTACATGATAAACCACATAATTTGATATGTATATTGTGCTATGTTGTTGTTGAAGTGTAATGTGTGTGTGTGTGGTCAGGATGGGTTTATAGACTTCATGGAGTACGTGGCGGCTCTGAGTTTGGTCCTGAAGGGAGGCGTTCAGCAGAAGTTACGCTGGTACTTCAAACTCTTCGACATGGACGGCAGCGGATGCATCGACCGCGACGAGCTGCTGCTGATCTTCAAGGTTTGATGTTTCTGAGTTTCTCTTCAGCGCCTCCTGCTGGCTCACTTTTGTCTCAAGTTGGTTTTCTGCTCTAGGCTGTTCATGCCATTAACGGAGAAGACCAGGAGATTTCTGCCGAGGACTTGGCCGACATGGTGTTCAACAAGATTGACGTCAACGGAGACGGTAATCTATCGATCTATGCTATTTAAATACAGTATGTACATAAAACAACATGATTTACGTGTGCAACTGTGTGTGTTAAGGTGAGCTGTCGCTGGACGAGTTCTTGGAGGGCATCGAGGCGGACGAGGTTCTCACTGAGATGTTAACCCAGAGTTTGGATCTGACTCATATTGCCAGTAATATCCACTGCCAGACTGACTCTGAACAGGAGGTCAACTGACCCCAGACCAGCCCGAGTTGCCAAACATGATGATGGGGGAGGCGTGTCTGGACCGTTTCTGAACTCTGAACTACTCCTGTTGATTCAGCACTGACTTAAACCCTTAACACATCAGAGATTAATAATTTAACAGAATAGTACACTGCATTTCACAAGCCTGATTATTCCCCTGTAATCTCACAGAATAACTGAGACTAGGTCAAATGATTTATTTAAGTGCACTTATGCATGTTGAATTGAAATTAAATTTCTATTAAATAAATAATTTCAGTCCTGTGAAATAATCTGTCATGCAAGAACTTGCATTAAAGGGATAGTACTAACACTCACGTATCCTCCAGATCAGCAGGGGGCGCTACTCTTCAGACTCCTGCTGAACACCACTCATTAAGCCTGATTTGTTACACCAGTTTTTTGCCCTGTATTAGTGTGTTTGTGTCTGAAATCACATACTCTCTTGTGTAGGTAGAGTTTGTGTTTGAAGAGGCCATTGAAAAAGGTCAACTTCCTCCAACTTTGAAACAGGGCGTGATTACTTTAATTCCCAAACCAAATAAGGATAAATTGCACATTGAAAACGGGAGGCCCATTAGTTTACTTAACAATGATGCAAAGTTATTTGCTTAAATTTTTGCCAAAAGACTTAAAACATAGCCTGAGCCAAATTATAGATGCCCAACAGACACATACACAATAACATGCGTTTAATTTTAGACATGATAGATTACAGTGACCTTTTTCCGAATGATAGCTATAGCTTCATACTTTTTATTGACTTTTATAAAGCTTTTGACACCATCGAGCATAACTTTATATTAAAATCTATTTCCTTTTTTGGCTTTGGTAACTATTTTTATAAGGCAATTCAAACCTTATATAATGGGTGTTCTAGTTCTGTTAAACTGGAAACAGGCACATCAGAAAGATTTAGTATAACACGTGGTATTAGACAAGGCTGCCCGGTGTCTCCATAAATTTTGTGTTTCTCTTAGTTCTCAGACAATGGCTACACGCATAAAAATATCTCCCATTTTAGGAGTTAATGCTGTTGGTAAAAAGTTTTAAATTTGCCAACTTGAAGATGACACAGCCATCTTTTTAAGTCAACGTAAACAAATTGGGACTGCGGTAAATAGTATCAAACCATTCTATGTATCAGGATTGGTAATGAACATTAATAAATCAGTTTTGTTCCCCCTCAAAAACTGCAATCTGGCCAGTCTTGAGGGAATACCAATTCATGAAAAAGTAACATATTTTGTGATATATTGTACTTTGTAAAAATATAGAAAGAAACTACGTAAATAAAATACTGTATCTGGAGGAAAAAACCCATTATCTCAAAAAAGATGTCATCACAGGATATAGAGACCAAGGTGGTCTGGAAGTGTTGGACTTTCATACTATAAACAAAAAAATAATAATAATAATAATTAAAAAAAAAACTTTCATACAATAAACAATACTCTTTGTACGCTTTTCCATCATATTTGTTTAATACTCTTGGTGGCATAGCCTACATTTTCTACTGAAATGTAATTTTTCTATTGATAAAATTCCCTTGAAGTTAGCTGACTTCAACAAACAAGTCCTTCTATCTTGGATATTGATCTATAAACACAATTTTAGTCCACATATAAACTTTATTTGGAATGACAAAGAAATCCTTTATAAAAAGAAGTCTCTGTTTTTTGGTCTGATTTGGAAGAATATATAATCACAAAATTAAATGTAAACATCAGATTCAATATTATTTTGATTTCATGTTACACTTTGATTTATGTGGTTTGTCCAAAAAAAAATATTTTTGTTATTCAGCTGTTTATTATCTTCGGAAAATACCATATTCACAAATGTACGTGGTCTAATTCAGAACCTTATTTTAAGGCAATTCATTTGGACTTAAATCATATAACAAAACATTATAAAACATGCAAAATATGAAGGCTACAAGAACATCTACTGAAGGAATGGCATAATTTTTAATTTTCCCCTTCTATAATACTGCCATACAAAGCAAAAAGGCAGTAACTGCAGTTTTGGTAAAACATTAATTATTACAATTTTCATGACATTCAAGGCAGCATTTCCTATCTGATTGGCTGATAAAGTAATGGTCCCGCCTCTCATACTTGAAAGACGATTCTTATTGGAAGTTAATAATTCAAGTGAAGCTGCCGAGGAGAGCGGTCACACGCGTAAATCATTCTCCTACGTAGTACCGGTAGTTGTTATTTAGATCGTGTATTTAGTGATTTCAACTAGAAATTCACTCCGTAAATGTTTTTTAAAATATATTTGACTTAGTTTCGTTATTTATTTTGAGTTTGTGTGACATAAAGTGGTGCGATACTGTTTGTTTACATTTGAAAGGAAAGTTCGTTAATTCCGTTAAACGGCGAATGAACTTGGCACATAAGTGATTAGAGGATTATATGCGGATGACATCGCTGGAAGACACTACAGAGGACTCTGATTCCCTCACGATCGAGAGTTTTGGCTCCGAGAGAAGGACAGGAGTATGATGAGACATCCATAGAGCGCGCTGAATTCCCGCGTGATTCAGATTTCCCCCGGCACAGAGGAACAGACGACAGCCTTCAGAAGCATTTCAGCGTCGGAACGAGTGAACCTGAGAGGACCGATCGTGACCGTTGACTCCATTAACTCCGAGAAATTGAGGTACTATTATTTTGTTTGGCTCTATAGAGTAAAGAGGTCTACCTAGAGGTGCTACTAGAGTAAAAACTTGTCTATTTTTGTCGTGAGAAGCATATTGCTAGAACCCAACAGATATTTTGGGAGAAGTACAACACACACACTCTCTCTCTCTCTCTGTTAAAAGTCTCTATAGATTTAACTGCACAGTAGCCTGCTGAAAAGAGTACTGTATGTTTTTACAGAAAAATACCGCATTTCTACATTCCAGGAACATTCATGAATTTACTTTGCATTCTGGGTCATTTTGATTGAAATGTTTTACACTATTGGTCTTTGTCAGGTGACATCACACTCGCGATTCACAAAGTGCATTATGGGCGTAGCCGCCATTTGTAAGGTATCGATGCTGGGGTATTCTGCAAGGGGGTAATCCATCGACCGGAAGTTGAAGCCTCGCGGGAGCCGCCATCTTGTAGCAGAACTTCACTTGCGTTAGCATTCCCATTGACTCCCATTCATTTTGGCGTCACTTTGACAGCGAATAACTTTACATCTGAGGCATTTGAAGACTCCATTTGTCCTTTATTTATTTCTAAAGAAACACGACAATGTAAAAATAGCTCCATTACCTTGTAGCTTATGTTATGGCCCCGTAGAAGCAGTTTTAGTGAAAGTAGGCTAACGATTGCGTCATACCCACGTGACTCTCTGTCGCACAGGAGAGAGATTACCGTGTGGACAGGAGAAGAACCTCGCGCGCAATCGGGGAAACGTGGAGGCAAAATGACAAAATAATTAATCAGAATACCTAGCAGAATTGTCTCCTTCTCCTAGCTCATGGACAGCTCCTACTCACACTCTCCGCCTCTGCATGTTCTGGAAGGGAATGATTCAGATTTCTCATGCCACTGCACTAGAAGACAGACGGTTTCCTCTCGTCACATCTAGGTAGTCAAGCTCTGTTTGAGTCTGCGCATCAGGGACGGAAGTGCTAAAAAATCGCCAAAAACGGGCTTCAATCGTCTCAATGGAGTTCCAATGAGATCGCTCTGTCCATTTCTTTTACGGTCTATGGTATTCTGTTGTTGGAGAATTGTTTTTTCATTCTTTTTTTTTTTCAAAATAAACAATCCTTAACATGACACTATCATCATCATCATCAATACAGCAAACCTATCTTTGCTGTTACTACCTTTACGGGATTTATTTACATTCCTACCGAAGGATACAGTAACTCGGTGAAATGTCCGCGGGCTTTAAGAGATGTATAATTTATAAATTGTTCACTGGTAACATTGTATGCGCTTATACCATAAACAAGATAGTTGACAATGCCCAAATATGAGGATGAGAAAGCAATGTGGGATCAGCACTCCAGCTTACTGGAGTCAGCTGAGCTCATGGATCTGAACGGATGACAATTTTAAAAAAAAAACGGTACCTGACACATTTTAAATAGTGTGTAATGTTGCTGTTGGTGCATGAACAGTATCTGCAAAGTTGCAGCGCTGAAAGTTCAGTGTAAGCAGAGATATCGTCTTGTCTTATCGTCTTAAAAATCAGGAAGTTTAATGCTTACAAAAACGACTCGATTGGGACTACAGCTGTTTGTTTGTTTTTTTGGGCCACAAACTGTAAGTAAGACTTAATAATTTTAAATGTATATGCATGTATAATTTTAGAGATGTAATGTTTTAGTTTTAGCCACTTAGTTATGCTATTTCGTGTCTATGACAAACCCATTTTGGACCTGCATTTTTATGTACTAATTTTGTAATGTATACTTTATGATGTAATTTTTCGATTTGATCAAGAACGTAATGCCAATGGCTGTTTGTTTATAGTGGCCAGTTAGTTCAAAGCTATTTTGTGTGTACAAGACAAGTAAGTAAAAAAAAAAAAATTATATGTAATAGCAACAGCAAACTTAAGTGTACAGGATGGGTTTAACACAGTTGCCACATGTACACCTAAAGAACGAGACACTGAGTAAACTAAGTTTTGTGAATAGATAAATGGTTGTTAATTATAACGATAAAACAGTAACTTCAATAAATGGTATTACTCAGTCATTTATTCAGTTACACAAAATGTTTAATCAGGAGAAAACCTTATCTCAAAAGCGAACAAGTAGCAGTAGCAATTTCAAGTAACAAAGTATCGAAATTCTTAAGTATTAGGCTAATAATAGAATAGAATAGAATAATAATAATTAAAAAATTACCATTCAGAAACATTTAGTGAGAGCCATGTGTGGTGAGTTTCTGCTTGACTCTCTTCATCGCTGCTTTCTGGGTCTGATTCTGCCTCAAAACTGTTATTGCAGTATCAATACCATTATTTACATTGGACAGGAACACGTATGAAACTCTCTCCTGTAAAGGTAATGGTTGTGAAGTATCCGGACAACGTGCACTACAGTTTAAGGCGGGCGTACACGGTGCGATTTTATTATTTTTTATTTTTTTTATTTTTTTATTTTTTATTTTTTTATTATTTATTTATTTTAAATTTTTTTTTTTTTACGAGCTCGCAGATGATTTTTTTCACTCGGGAGAAATCGCGTGTAAATCGGTTATGCTCGCATGTCGCGGCTCGTATCTTGTGCACGGAAGATGAAGCCGAGCACCTCTCGACCTCCCGATAATTTTTAAGCATGTAGAAAAAGTTAGGGAGCTGTCGGCTTACATTCGTGAGGTGTGCGGTTGAATGAGCCGATTTGTCGATCTATCTGAATTTGGTTTCTTCGGAATTCAGCAGGTCATAAAATCGTGTCGTATATCACTGCCTCCATACAATTTTTGGATAAACTCACTCGTAAAGTGTGCCTGGACATACGATCTTCCGACCGTCAGAATTCGTACCGTGTACGCCCGCCTTTAGCCAATCGCAACACACCGGCCCAAACTAACCAATCTGAGCCCACTGCAAGTTTCTGAGGGAGTGGTTTCATAGAATCAGGAAGTCAACCAGTCGTTCAAATCATAGACATGTATATAAAGGCTAGATGTGTTACGGCGGAGTTTCCATCGTCATCACCGGCGGCCATCTTGTCACAGACAAGCTGATGTAAGATGAGTGGTCAGCACAAACACAAATACTCTTATCTCGTTGAAATCTTGACTGATTTACAAACGGTTTGGTTTCTTACAAACGTTATTAACGTGGCTATAATTATCTGGATGATTATTTATTTATACACTTTTTATTCATAAGTATGCAGTGTCATAACTACATCTCTGACGTTTATAACTAAACAAACCGTTTGGAAATCGGTAGAAAATTGAGCAAGTTATGGTCATTTAAATAGTACATGTACCATTAACACAATGTTACGAGTGAGTGAGCTGCCTGTGACAAGATGGCCGCCAGGTGCAGAAGTCGACCTCCATTGGCCAGCAGCGTGGACGAGATATCTAGCCTTTATATAGATATCTATGGTTCAAATGATTGAGGAGAAATAACAATAAAGGTGAAATTTATGAAAAATAACACATTTTAAAAAACAAAAACCACGAATACATGTTATATTGCACCCCATAAACACAATCATGCAAAGAAAAAAAGCAGTAAACCACCCCTTTAAAATTGTTTCACATCACAAAACACCATTTTTCTTTCAGCTCCTTTTGTAACCTTTTCACCTCATATAGTTGTTCAATCTTTTCCTTGAACTGATCTTTTATCTTTCTTGAATCATTCAATAGCTCTATTTTTCTGTCTTCCTCTTCATGTTTTGGTTTCATTTCATCACACACTTTTTTTTCTCTTCTCTTGATCTCTTCTTCTAGCTCTTGTTTGAGAACTTCCATCGTTTTCTCCCATCTCTTTCTCTTCCCCCTTCTTCTCTCTTCATCCTCTTGTTTTCTCCTCTCCCGCTCCTCTTCTCTCTTTTGCTCCAGCTGATCATAATGTCTCTTCATTTCATTTCTCTCTTTTTCATAATCTCTCTCTATCTGGGTTTTCTCTTTTCTCAGTTTCTGTTTCTCCTCCTCTATCATCTGTCTTTCTTCTTCTCTCTCAGTTTCAAATCTCTTTCTCGTTTTCTCCAGTTCTTCTTGTTTTTCTCTCAGTTGTTTCTCATGTCTCTCTTTTCTCGTTCTTTCCTCTTCCTCTCTTTCTCTCATCTGTTGTTTCTTCTCTTCCTCCCAGTCCCTCTGCTGTCGTTTAATTCGCTCTTGAATCTCTTCATCATCTTCCGCCTCTTTTATTTTTCTCTTCCATTCTTCTCTCTCTTTCTCTTCTTGTTTCTTCTTCATTTGTTCCTCTAAATCTCTCTCTTTTATTTCCTCTTCCTGTTTTCTTCTTAACTCTGCCATGATGCGTTCCTGCTCAGTTTTCATCTTTTCTTGATCTTGTTTATGTTCTTCTTCTCTCTTTTTCTTCTCATCACATTCTTTTAGCTGTTTTTCACACTGTAATATCTGCTTTTTAGTCTTTCTCTCCATTTCATCTATTCTACGATCATATTCAGCTCTTCGCTGTTTTTCCTCTTCTGATCGTTCCCGATCCTCCTCCTCCTCTTGTTTCTTCTGCTCTGATTTTTCTTTCTCCTGAAACTCTTTCCTCAGTTTTTCCTCTTTTTCTCTGAATTTCTCCTCCAGTCTCTGTCTCATGCGTTTGATTTCCATCTCATATCTGTCTTCTAATTCTTCAACTTGATCCTGATTTTCAATTTCATTCTCTTCCAGCATTTCCCTTCTCTTTTCAATAGAGATCGCTGCCTCCTCAAACATCTCATTAGTGAAGTATCGGCCCTCGTTAGATTCCTTCACCTCTTCTATCATCTTGAACAGACGTGTAACTTGCGTCCGATCTTGTGTTTCTCGGTTGTTAAAAGCCAGGAATCTGTTTCCACAATCACTGATCAGTTTCTTGAGTTCAGCATTTTTAGTTTTCTCGACATATTGTTCTATTGTTTGTTTTTTCAGAGTATCTCCTTTAGTGAAGAGAACAATGCAGAAATCTGCTGCTTTAGAACCAAATATCTTCATTATCATGTCTAAAGTGTCTCTCTCCTCTTGAGTGATTTCTCCCAAACTCAACACAATGATGAACACATGAGGTCCAGGTGCGGACAGTGAAATACACTTCATCATTTCTTCCTGGACTTCTTCATTTGACAGTGAAGTGTCAAAGAGTCCTGGTGTGTCAACAACAGCTACTGATTTACCATCAACTTCACCAACTCCTTTCTGACAAACAGTGGTCACTGGATCTGAACTGGCCTTACTGCGAAACTCATTGTTTCCGAGGATTGTGTTTCCTGTGGCACTCTTTCCATTTCCTGTCCTCCCAAACAGCAAGATTCTCAAACATCCTGGATCTTCATCATCTAAAAAAGACAATGAGAGTTTAGAGATTAACAACAATTGATTACATCTGGGACCTTGAGCAAGTGTTCAACTCTAATCTAAAATTTATACAATTTGAAACAGTTTATCTCAGTGGTCCTCAATGTTTTTTTAGGTCATCACCCCGATCCATTATCCAGGTCCGTTACCACCACCATTAAAATCTGCTGTCTTCTCTGAATATTAATTTTGATTATTATTGTTATTATTAGGGTCCAAGCACTGTGTAGGCACATATTGTAGACTTTCTTTTTGTTCTTCTTCTACCAATGACTCTTTTGCATCCCATAAAACTGTATGGTAATAAATTATGACATTGGTACACATACAGAGGACAATCCGATTAACCATAGCAAATTGTGAGTCTCTAAGTCAATCTCTCTAGCGCCACCAACTGTCCAAAGTTTCACTCATTTATGCAAATAGCTTTTGAACCATATATTATATATTTTGGGCCATTTGAATTTTGTTGTAAAATGCTGTGTTTTATCAATGCAAACATTAGGAGATTAAAACAAAAACACTGGATGATGTTTGTGTCTGGCACTGCCAACACACATTGCAGTACAATCAACTTGTAAAAGTGCATGACCCCTTTAAAAGGGTGATGAACTAAGAAATCTAATTTTCCTTGAGCTTTTGACATCTAAGAGGAATATCCTGTAAGTTTCAGAACTGAAAACGTCCTTGTTAGTCCAATAAAAGCTTTTATTGACACAGCCTCTGAAAACGGCTCGTTTTTAAAAGTGGGAAACTATGACGTCGAAGGGGTTAAAACACCACCCCCGCAGAAGAAGATCAACACCTACTTCAACACGGCCGGTTTAGCCCCGCCCACCGATTCGCGCATTACACGCATAGCTAAGTAGCCTAACATACATGCCATACGTTCCAGCTGATGAGGGTAAAACATCGTCGTCTGTTCGCTTCATTTCACTGAGGATTGTTTTGTAAACAAGACTGGATTTGCAGACCGATTAAGAGTAAAGAACGGTGCTGTGCCGTCTATATTGGATCTGACAGGAATATTGTGCAACACACGGACTCTGGGTTGAACATGTATGGGCGAATCCGGTTGCCATTTGACAACATTGGACGTTTCCCCCCACGTGCACCGACGGGTGAGTTAAACTCATTATAATATGCAAAACTGTTCTCCACTCGCAGCAGTGGGCGTTTATTTCCAAGTCTTCAGTGCGACACGCCCATAAAAACCGACCGTTTTTCAAGTAGGCTCACAACTTGGGTACAAAATAGCCAATTACTTATTCATTTTGATGTTTTTGAATGCAAAAACCAAGTGAACATCATAGGTTGACCTCAGACAACAATATAATAAAAGTTAAAAGCCCAGTTCATGACCCCTTTAAGAACTGTAGCAGGAGCAGTGGAGAAAATCAAAAAATATATTATAAAAACATTTTTAATCTGAATTTTAATGATACTGACAACACATTTGTCAAGTTGCCAGAGAGGATTTTTAATAGGAACCAGTCGAATAGTATGACTAAATCGATTATTTCGTAATTACATACATACATCTTCTTCCGCTTCATCCGGGGTCGGGTCGCGGGGGCAGCAGTCTAAGCAGAGATGCCCAGACTTCCCTCTCCCTAGACACTTCCTCTAGCTCTTCTGGGGGGACACCGAGGCGTTCCCAGGCCAGCCGGGAGACATAGTCTCTCCAGCGTGTCCTAGGTCTTCCCCGGAGCCTCCGCCCAGTGGGACGTGCCCGGAACACCTCCCCAGGAAGGCGTCCAGGAGGCATCCGGAACAGATGCCCGAGCCACCTCAGCTGACCCCTTTCCCAGGGAGGCTGAGAAGTGTGATCCCCCTGTAGTTGGAACACACCCTCCGGTCCCCCTTCTTAAAAAGAGGAACCACCACCCCGGTCTGCCATCCCAGAGGCACTGTCCCCGACCGCCACGCGATGCTGCAGAGGCGTGTCAACCAAGACAGCCCCACAACATCCAGAGACTTGAGGTATTCAGGGCGGATCTCATCCACCCCCGGTGCCTTGCCACCGAGGAGTTTCTTGACTACCTCGGTGACCTCAGCTAGGGTGATGTACGAGTCCACCTCTGAGCCCTCAGCCTCTGCTTCCTCAATGGAAGACGTGGCGGCGGGATTGAGGAGGTCCTCGAAGTATTCCTTCCACCGCCCGACGACATCCCCAGTTGAGGTCAGCAGCCGCCCACCCCTACTGTAAACAGCATTGGTGGGGGACTGCTTCCCCCTCCTGAGGCGCCGGACAGTATTTCGTAATTATTTTTCAAAATGTATAACTTATTTTTAACATGTTAAAGTAGCCTTCTTCTCTGGCTAACTTGTAGGTTTGGGAACAATAGGAGCCACTTGGGAGCCACTTCTCCTTTTAGAAAAAAGAAAAAAAAATTAAACGATGGTGGCTGACTGTAAAATAACCTGACCTAGACTTCGAATTGCTCTTTGTTGTGACTGATGATTCTTAATGTGCCAACGGTGAAATATTAACTCAACAATAGCAATTCATAAACTGTTGAAAAGCAAATCACAGAGATTATCAGAGTATTCTTCAAACCCAAATATTCATATTGCCATAATCATTTCAAAATTTCTGGTTATCATTTTGACTTACTATTGGTGTCCTGTTCCTCTGGAGTTCCCACATGGAGTTGATTAAATCTATTTGTTTTGTTCTCTCCTTCATTTCTTCCGAGTCTTTCCTGTTGTCTCTGTTTCTCCCATTCCTCTCGTTCTCTCTTCATCTCTTCTCGCATCTCTCTCTCATGATCCTCTATGTATTGTCTTTCTTCCTCCATCATCATCTTCATTCTCTTTTTCTCTTCTTCATGTTTGGCCTGAAGATCTTCTCTCTCTGCGTGTCTTCTGTTTACCTCTTGTTTAAGTTTCTCATAATATTCATCCCATGTTTCCTGATCTATCTTTCTCCTTCTCTCATCCTCCTCTTGTTTTTGTCTCTCCCATTCCTGTCTTTCTCTTTTCATCTCTGTTTTATATCGTTCTTCTCTCTGACTATATTCATCCCACATTGCCTGTTCTCTCTTTCTCCATCTCTCATCATCTTCTTCTCTCATTCGTCTTTCCTGTTGTTTTTGTTTCTCCCATTCCTCTCGTTCTCTCTTCATTTCCTCTTGCATTTCTTTTTCTCGTTCCTCTCTTTCTTTAATGTCTCTTTTATATTGTGCTTCTCTCTCTCTATATTCTTCTTCTCTTTTCTCTCTTTCCATCTCTCTGAACATCTTACATGAGTAGTAACTGTCTCCGTTTTCTTTCACCATGTGGTCTATCTTCTTCAGTAGATCAGACACCTGTGTTCGGTCTCTAGTCTTATTATTGAACACATGGTATCTGTTTCCACACGCTTCAACCAGGTTTATTAAACGAGATCCAGGATTTTCCAGATACTCTTCAATGGTTTTGTTCTCCAGATCGTCTCCTCTGGTGAAGAGCACCATGGTGTACATTAAAGAGTTTTCACCAAACATCTCTTTGATGATCTTCACTGCTGTTGCTTCTTCTTCAGTGAATCGCTGTGCTAGACTGAGCACAATGATGAACACATGTGGTCCAGGCAGGATCATGGAGATGCAGTGTCTGATTTCTCTCTGGATCTCCTCATTAGTAAGATCAGTATCAAACACTCCTGGAGTGTCGATCACAGTAACGTGTCTGTCATTTAGTTTGGCTGATTTACTCTGACACTCTTTAGTAACTGATTCATGAGCGGTTACTGCTGTAAATGCTTCTCTTCCTAAGATGGTGTTTCCAGTTGCACTCTTCCCAACTCCAGTTTTTCCCAGGAGCACAATCCTCAGATCATCCTCACTTTCTCTGGAATCTAAAGATACATCAAATAATAACAATATATTGAATTTTAAGTGAAGATTGCCAAGAAAATACATGTGCTAATCATATTATTTCCTATGAACTCAGCATGTAATATGTTTTTCTCACAAATCTGTGTAGATTTTTGCAATCATGAAAAGTGAAAATTCATGCAGATTTTCTGATCATTACCTTTTGACTGAAACCATGTCTGTAATGAATGGATTTTCTTCTTCATTTCTTCAAATTTCTGCAGTTTTTCCATCTGTACTTCCATCAATGTCTCTGAGGAGAAACAAACACCATTATTTTCCTCAACCATCTGCTTTAGTTTCTCCATTAACACGGACACTTGTGTGTCAGGACCAATGAAATGATGTCGTCCTCCAAAACTCTCAATGACAGACTGTGTTTCTTCATTCAGTTCTGCTGTCTTTTCCTCTGAATTCTGGTTTATGAGGATCATGATGTGTTTGTTGATTCTTGAGCTGAATATCTTCTGGATCTTCTCCATTTCTGCTCTGTCTTCATCAGTCAGTGGAGCATCAGAAATAGTGAGGAGGAAAACATGAACTCCAGGATCACAGAGAGACACACAGCGGAGAATCTGACGCATCACTTCCTCCTCTGAGATCTGTGTGTTGATCAGATCTGGAAGCTCCACCAGAGACACCAGACGTCCATGAAGCTCCACGTCTGTCCTCACACACTCTCCGGGCTCTGATCTTCTGTCTGCGGCGTTCAGGATCAGGTTTGATATGAAGGATTTTAATCTTCTGTTACTCCCACACAGAACCAGATTCAGCTTCACACCCTCTGGAACTGGAAAAGGAACAAACTAGGTTAACAATGTGGTTTTAACTTTTTTTCAAAAACCTTTGTCTTAGCTGAACTGAACTTAAGGGCCGTACACACCGAGTTTTTTAACGCGTTTTTTGTGTTCACACCCAAGCAATTTTCATTGACGATGAGCTGAGTGAACATGCAAATTCATTCCCTGACATTAGATGGTGCCAATTTGCTCTGCAATACCACTCCATATCAGTTCTCTTATCAAGATGTTTGTAGTTGCTGTCGCGTTTGTCATACTTCTTTATGTTGCGAGACCAGCAGCTCTACATTCATCTTGCCTTGCATCTTCCTCGTTTTATTTCTTCCTGGCTGTGTAGACGGCAAGGCGTATATCTTCTTCGCCGTTACATATGTGTGCTCGGCAAGACCGTTTTGTGTTTAAATGCCCCCAAGTTGTGTTTTACTGTAACTTCAGAAGCTCTGGACACGTGAGCAAAAGCGCTAATCTCATTGGTTAGATAGTTTTTGATGCGGCGCGTCAAACCAAAAAAATCGAACCTGAGGCGTTTTTTAAAATTACGTTTTTACGCGTGACGTTTTACTCGTCGGTGTGCACACTCACATTGGCACCCTTTGTTTAGTCACGAGGCGTTAAACGTCAGCGAATATCGCGCGTGAAATTCATCCCAGTGTGAATAGGCCTATAGTACTGTGAAAACACTGAAGAGAAAGCTCTGACCTCTCCCATGTGACCGCTATGAAATCAAGTAAAAACAAGTGCTTTGACGGAGTTCATCAATCTTTATTTGAGATTTCTAGTTAAATGAAGGTGTCATCAGTCGGTCTGTGTTCTGTCATGAGCCGCTGGCGCTGATTTACTGCAACTAAATCTACAATTAAAGTGTAGGCTGATTTCCAGCAGTGGTTCTCAAACTGAGCACAATTTGCTGTTTTGCCATTCTTTTAATTCTACTCAATCTTAAAATGCCTTAAGTACATACCATTCAATCAGGTACGCGCAGGTATGGCAGCTGGGGCAGCAGTTACTGTCACGCCGGCTGCTGAACCTGGTGAGACGGAGGAGGAGCCGGGGCCGGAATCTCCCCACAGTACCCAGAACCTCCAAGCAACACAAATCCCTCCATCAAGCAGGAAATCGAACACCGCAGGGTGAAGTGGCCTGCCGCAAACAATAAGGAGTGGTTTAGGTTGGACGAGGATGTAGACAAGTGCCTGGGATCCATCTCAAAGGGCAGTGTCGACCAGAAGCTCCAGACCATGTGTACCATCATAATGAACATGGGAGTAGAGCGGTTCGGGGTTGAAGAAAGGAAAGAGGTCAGTAATTCAGCGAAGGTCAACCGACGAGAAGCCAAGATAAGTCAGTTGAGACGAGAACTAAAATCCCTGAGATGTCAGTTCAAGACAGCCAAGAAAGAAGAAAGGATTGCCTTGTCAGAACTCACAGACATCATAAGGAAGAGACTCATCTCACTGAGGAGAGCGGAAGGGCAAGGAAAGGGCTCGGAAACATGGTGCTTTCATTTGCAACCCCTTCAGCTTTACCAAGAAACTACTGGGCCAGAAGCGACGTGGCCACCTCACTTGCCCGGTAGAGGAGATCGATAAACATCTCCATGCCACCTTTAGTGACATCTATAGAGACCATGATCTCGGACCTTGCAGGGAGTTGGTGGCGCCACCTGAACCAGGGACCCAATTCAACTGCTCTGAACCCACGTTGAAAGAGGTGAAAGATGCCGTAAGATCGGCAAGATCCAGCTCCGGGGGTCCCTTACAAGGTCTACAAGCAGTGCCCGCAGCTCCTCAGGTGTTTATGGAAGATTCTGAAGGTTATCTGGCGGAGAGGGAAAGTCGCTGCGCAATGGAGACATGCTGAGGGAGTCTGGATCCCGAAGGAGGAGGGCTCTTGCAACATTGATCAGTTTCGTATCATCTCGCTGCTCAGTGCGGAAAGCAAGATCTTTTTCAAAATCGTGTCCCAACGTCTGACGGACTTTCTTTTGGAAAACACCTACATCGACACCTCAGTCCAGAAGGGAGGAGTCCCAGGAGTACCTGGATGTCTGGAGCACACAGGGGTGGTGACTCAGCTGATCCGGGAGGCTAGGGAGAGCAAAGGAGATCTGGCAACTCTCTGGCTTGACCTGGCCAATGCCTATGGGTCTATGCTGCATAAGCTTGTGGAAAGTGCATTGGTAAGACATCATGTTCCTGACAAGATCTGTAAACTTATCATGGACTATTATAACAACTTCAGCGCGCGAGTCTCTTCAGGCCAAGTAACATCCTCCTGGCATAAACTTGAAAAAGGGATAATCACCGGCTGTACGATCTCTGTAACTATTTTCTCACTTGCCACAAACATGATTGTCAAGTCGGCCGAGGTGGAATGCAGAGGTCCCTTGTCAAGATCTGGGATCCGTCAGCCACCCATAAGAGCTTTTATGGACGACTTAACAGTGATGACAACATCTGTTCTAGGATGCAGGTGGCTCCTCCAGGGGCTTGAAAGTCTCATCTCCTGGGCAAGGATGAGCTTCAAGCCCGCTAAGTCCAGGTCTCTGGTCCTAAAAAGGGTAAAGTGTCTGACCGTTTTCGTTTTACCCTGGGAAAGACGATGATTCCATCGGTGTCTGAAAGACCGGTCAAGAGCCTGGGGAAGATCTTTGATAGCTCCTTGAAGGACTCAGCGGCCATAAAACAAACCAAGCGCGACTTGATTTCCTGGCTCACAGCGATTGATAGATCTGGCCTCCCCGGAAAATTCAAAGTCTTGCCAAGAATACTCTGGCCCCTGTTAGTCTACGAGGTACCCTCATCAACAGTCAAGCTGAAGCACCAGAAGGTGTATGAAAACTCAATCAAATTAGCTTTTGCAGTCAAAACTGACCGTAACCACAGAAACCATAAAATTGCGCTACATTAGTGCGGTTCTCCTTTGTAAAAGTGGGGATTTAGCACTTACTAGCATGACAAAAATAGACAGACTGCATAAAGATCAATTCAAAGGTGCAGCATGTAAAATCCTAAGAGGATCTATTGTCAGAAATCCATTATAATATACATAACTATGTGTGCCTACATGTGTGAGTGGTTTGTAAAGACCTTACAAAATTAACCATTTTGTTTTTTATTACCTTAGAACGAGCCATTTCTATCTATATACACTGCGAACACTAACAAACTAAGTAAGCTCATTTAGAGTATAAATGACGTTAGCAATTGCAATATATTGGTAGATTAGCCAGGGCAGCATACCTCCAAATAATCCATGGTGTTAATGAATGCTGATGATGAGACAGGCGGTCGCGTTCACAGAAAACCTGGTGCGCACGCACTCGAGCACGAATTCTGTGGGAGGGTATTCGTTGATAGTGGGGGAGGGCCATACTGTATGAGTTGTAAACATTCAAAATGTTGCCAAAGTCCACTCAATCAGCCATAGTTGCCGTCGGCAGCTTTAAGCACGCTGAGGCTGCTTTAGTGGATAGTTCATGTTCTCAGTGCGGGAACCGTATTGCTGTGCTAAGATCATGACTCGTTTACCTCAAGGGAGGTGCAGTCCCCTCGCCTATGCCCCCAATCTATCGCTTATTCTGATCCGTAGAATCAGCCTACTTCTGTGCTTAACCAGGGTGATCTGAGGATTACTGTTAGGGCTTCCCTGCCGAGCCAATCTCGGTGGGCCCCTCATGCCTCACAGCCACAGCAGACATTGGAGCCTCAAACGCAGCACACTGGTCCTTCTTATGGACGACCAGTCGTTTCCTTTGGGAAATGTTGGTCACAGCATCGGAGGGGGAGCTTCAGTCCTCTGGAGATTAGGACTCAGCTGAGTTGCCCCCTACGGGGAGTGTAGCGTTGCCCAAGTCAGATCCAGAATAGGCGACTATGCTTACCGGCTGCTGAGAAGGTCGGGCTTCCGTGGCCCCGTGCTGGTTCTCCGCATTCTGCTCTTGGTCTTCCCAGAGGTGCACAAGGAGCTTGCTAGGACATGGACGGTGCCATGTAGTGCCAGAAGCCATCCTTTTCAGGAGCCCGTCCTAGTGGCTCCTCCCTCCTCATCACCCTTGACAGCAGAGCAGCTAAGGGGTATGTGGACAATCCCGCCAGTGGAGCGTGCCGTTGCGATGCAGCTGTGTCCGACAGCAGCTTCCTCTTGCGGGGTTACAGAGCCTGTGCCACTGCACTTCTGCACATCCTGCCCTGGTGGACAGCTGCTGCCTCCACCGGTCTCCGGCCGCAGACCCCCCCTTCCGCTCATCACTGAGGTCGACCTCCTGCAGCGTCCTCGGCTCCCACTAAGCCGCCGCATCAGGACACAGCGTGGAGCCAGCCATAGAAAGTCGACCCTGCTCCACCGTGAAGCCAACGAGCTATCTCGGCAGTATGTGCTACCGGGAAAGGGGAGAATCCATCCCCAGGTGGTCCAGCTGATTTGGAGGCGCTTCGGGACCACACAGGTAGATTTATTTGCAGCCCTGGACATGTCCCACTGCCAGTTATTCTACTCCCTGACCGAGGGCACCCTTGGCATGGACGCACTGGCACACAGCTGGCCCCGGTGGCCTATTCAAGTATGCGTTTCCTCCAGTGAGCCTTCTTGCACTGGCCCTGTGCAAAGTCAGGGAGGATGAGGAGCAGGTCTTGCTCATTGCACCATATTGCCCCAACCCTGAGGGTGGCGAGAGACCACTTCAGAGACCACCTTATGAGACTCTGCAATCAGCAGAGTTAAAAATTCTATCCTGTAAGAAAGTATTCCTGGTTGCATTGGCCTCCACCAAGAGGGGGACCTGCATGCATTTTCAGTCGACGAATCGTTCGGCCCGGCTAACTCTCACGTTATCCTGAGACCCCAGCCCCGGATACGTGCCCAGGGTTCCTACCACTCCCTTCTGGGACCAGGTGGTGAACCTGCAAGCGCTGCCTTCAGAGGAGGCAGACCCAGCCCTGGCTTTTCTCTGTCCCATTCGTGCTCTGCGCCTGTATATGGACAGAACACAAAGCCTCAGGGCCTCAGACCAGCTCTGTCTGTTACGGAGGCCGGCAGAAGGGAAAGCCCGTCTTCAAGCAGAGGATAGCCCACTGGATAGTAGATAGCATCGCCTTGGCTTACGAAGCCCAAGGTGTGCCTTGGCCGTTCGTGATGAGAGCCCACTCCAACAGAAGTGTCACTTCTACCTGGGCACTAGCACACAGCGCCTCGCTGACAGATTTGTAGATATGAGGGCTGGGCAACACCTTACATGTTCGGGGGCGTGGTTCAACGATGTCTGTGAAGGGAGAGAGAGCTGGGAGCCGAGCAAGTCAAGTGCAAAATAAACACCTGATCTCGTTTGCAATGATTGCCATGGGGAAGCATAAAAGCCACCTGGAAGCAGGAAGCTGACAAAGAGAGAGTGGCTGTGGACATGTGTGCCTGTGATGAGAGCCTGAAGAAGCTGCCGCATTATTGAAAGAGAACTTATTTGAGAGTTTATGTGTGAGTGCGCACAGAGCCCCATTGTTTGCTTTGAAATACTAACAGAATAAAAGACCACACGTTCCACAGCACACCAACCCCATCTCCTTCCTTCATCCCTATATTTGAACTTTGTAACAATTATATTTTTATATATCCTTGAAATTGGTAAAGGGTGTTTACTGTACTGTAATAACCTCTAAGCATATTACTGAACTCTCACAAATATGCTTTATTCGGAAAAGTAAATAAATTCACTTACCCGGTGTCTTGATCTTCTCCTGTAACTCTTGGATTTCTTTATCTCTCACACTGAGTTTCTCCTCTAGTTCATCTCTGACTGTCTTCTCTTGAGCTCTCAGATACATCTGAAGTGAATAGGGTTCAGTCTTCAGGTTGTCTATACAATCCAGAATATTTGAGATCGTTCCGGAGATTCTATCATCCTTTAACCCCATCACACTGTACCAGCTCCCATAGAGACTCACGATGCTCTGAGATTCTGTGGATAATACACAATCTGACACACTTCTGTCATCAGTGAGATCAGCAGTGAAAAGCACCATGAAGTGCTCATTAGAGTTAAATATTCTTTTAATCTTCTCCATTTCTGCTCTGTCTTCATTAGTCAGTGAACCGACAGGAGTAACGAGGACAAAAGCATCAACTCCAGGATCACAGAGAGACACACAGTTGAGAGTCTCCCGCATCACTTCCTCCTCTGAGAGACGAGTGAGAGTCGGAAGCTCTGTTACCGTAATCTGCCGTCCATTAATCTTCTCCTCTCTCTTCATACACACTTTCCTCATCTCTCTCTGATGGAAATGTTTCTTTTGTTTATTTATTCTTCCTCTAAATATTTTAGACACTGTGTTCTTGAGTGTTGTATTATATCCACACAGCACAATGTTCAGCTTTGCTTTCCCAGAAGTAGTCACTGAAACAATATTTAGAGACAGTAGACTCAGTTTAGCTTTGGTAACAAAAGTACACTTCATTAAACAACAAAAATATTATGTTGTATATAAAATTACATTATCTGAATAGTTCAGACTCGGAGACCTGCATCTACAGTCCCCCTGCACCCAGAGTCCCGCATTCTCAGACCCCTCGTTTTTCGAGACAGCGCCTCCTATCAAATTGTATCGGATAAACATGTGAAGAACTTCAGCCAAAACGTGAGTAGGCTGTCTTCAATTTTATTTAGCAAATCGTAGCCTACTCGTTTGATTTATTTTTTCATAAAACAAATTTAGCTCATCGATACAACATATGAATAGTCCATTTAAAGTTTTTTTAACAAGATTTGAGCCGTTAATGTATGTTTTTTCGCCCTCTTCCCCCCGAAAATATTTTGATAGCTAACGTTAGCCTTTAACCTTGGACTTTTTGTAGATATGTCATAAATGCTGCAGTTATTTATGTGCCCCCATATATTTCAAACCCACAAAGTTGTCCAAAGTTCAAAAACATCTCAAGGGACACTTCAACAGAGCAGTGCAACATGAAGGTAACATTTGCAAACATCTTTTTCTTTCTTTTTTACTGTTTACTGGGCATATACTGTTGTAGGCTATTTCACAACATACATCGATGGAGTCGCCCCTGCCGAACCCAGCAACATATCATTTTATGATTATGCAAAGCGACTTATAAATGAGTTTTTTTAAAAAAAATGCAATTAAAGACGAAAAGTAAAGTCACGCACGAACACAGTTTTTTCTTCCTTTTTTTTTACAGCAAGATGATGTTTAGGTGATCATTAAATAAAGTACAGCATTGTTTATTATTAGTGTTTTGTCTATTCTGATTTGTTTTGCTTCACATTCAAAATACCAAAAAACAGATATTGTAATGTTAGACCGTTAAGGTTGAACTGAAAGAAAAATTGGAATTTGAATTAAAAAAAACAACATTGTAGCAATATAATGTCACATACTATTTTTGACCATTTTTTACAAAATTTTCATGGCCCTCAGAATTTTATCTGAATGTGCAATATATCAAAAGAAAGAACCGGGCTTCTGCTTTTAAACAATACGAAACAAAGTTTTATTTCAGCTTCATGCATTCGTTTTTCACCAAAAGTTGAATGTGGATGCGTTTCACAAAAAAAAAAAAAAAAAAAAACATTTTGAACAAAAAGCTGAAAAAATCGCATTTTGTCAAAATAATACAAACATGCATAAGCAATGCTTCTGTTGCATGTTTTTTTTTTATTTGGAGATTCAGTTCTTTCAAAAGACATGTAATATCACCTCCTACCATATAACAGTAGAAACACAGAAAGCTGTAAAATTTCATCAATGGCAGGGAAAAAGTTCAATGACACACACAAAAAAATATTTTATCCTGGAAAAAAAAAACACTTTGACAAACCTCCTCCATCACTTGCTGTTTTTGTATTCTGTTTGAGTTTTCCATCCTCCTTTGTGCCATCTCCTCTGAATAAACCCCCGGATCTGCTTGGATCTTCATCCACTGATGTTCCTCCATCCTCATACATGTTACAGACGAGAAATTCTTCTTGTTCTTCCTTGAGCATCTTCTCTATCCTACTGATCATCTCAGAGCGCCATCCTGCGTTTCTTGCATCAAACTTAAGATGTCCTCCTCCACATTCCTTTGTTAAATTAGTAATCATAGGAGCCGATTTGATGTTGGAGCCCAAAGGGTTATTCCATATCCTAGAAGTTATTGAAGTGTGTGTCTCTTCATCAGTAGTCAGCACTATCGTGTGTTTAAAGGCCTTCTCACTGAAGAGGTTCAGCACAGTTTTCACTCTTCTCAGGTCCTCCTCAGTGAAGTCTTTATATTGCAGTACGAGTAAGATCACATGAGGTCCTGGATCAGACAGAGACACACACTCTCTCACTCTCTGTGTGATCTCATGCTGTGAGAGATGTGGCTGGAGAAGATGAGGAGTGTTGATGACTGTGAGGTGTTTCTTCTCCACCGTTCCACTAATTATCTCACTCTGCTGCTGTAAAGAAGATGATGAAGCTTCACTGTGAAACGCTGCTGTTCCCAGTATAGTGTTTCCCACTTTGTTGTTTTCTGAGCCATTCTTTCCCAGCAGAACAATCCTCAGACCACTCACTGAAAAAGACACACACACAGAAGTTGCACAGAAGATGGATTTCAACATGTTTTATGTACGTTCGATAGATTTTATACTGTACAAACTGTGTATTCTAGCTTGTACCCCAGCACTCGGGAACCTATTCACACCTTGCACTTTTATAGAAATCATGTGACTTACCAGGTCTTAGTTTAGTTCATTTAGATCAATGTACTTTATACATCCCTTAGAAAATTTGGTTTGCACAGGTGCCATCCATCTCATTAATATTGTTAAAAGTGCCCTGTGTACTGCATTACCCATAATGCATGCGTTCGTTGTAGTTCCGATCGCTCGTGGTTGCGTGAGGCGCTTTCACTTTCGATGGGGTCCAGTGCGTAGACGGTAAAAGAAATGGACTCAGTGACCCCCTTGATTTCAATGGAGAGACTTGAAGCCCAACATGAGCACTCACTTCCTGAAAGCCAAGCGTTCTGCGCAGGCTCAAACTGAGCTTGACGACGTAGATGTCACATGAGCAACCTGACTGACAGTTGTAAATTTTCTAGTAGCTGTGCCAAGACAAATCTGAATCACCTAACGTTAATCTCGCAGAGACGGCAACTTTTGGTAAGTATTCTGATTAATTATTTTGTGATTTTGCTTAATATTTATTTATTTTAAATTGTAATGTCAGTACACCATATTAAGTTAATGCATAATATTAAGAAGTTATGTAAAATGATATTCAAGAACTTATGAATTCATACCAAATAGGTATATGTAAGGAGATACTAGGCAAAGGCTAATTATTGCTAACTACAGTAGGTGGACCACCAGAATGACACCGCGGCAAAAATAAACCAGCCGTATTTCAAAGTCGGTCGCGAAATGACCACCAAGTGGCGCAAAAGAACATTTAGCGAAAGCAAAACGTAATTATGTAAAAATTTAAATAGAATATAAACTTTCATAGCAGAACATTTTATTTATCAAAAGTTAAAATAGGCCTATCTCGCAGTCAGTGAAAATAAATTGTGTGCTTTCAATGGCGCTATTGAGGAATGAGAAGACTGAAGAGCTCTTCTCTCTCACGCGTGCACACTGACTGCTGAACAACCGAACTTCTGGGCTTTTGTCGTGGTCGAGTGGTAGAACTTTGGTACAATCATTTTGATGACACTGTTTCGAATCCCGAATAAACATGGTATTTATAAAATTACCATGCATTTCCATTTTACACTAAGGAATCTCTTCCAACTGATCGACTGAATTTACATCTTCAAAAGCAGTTATGTTAAAAAAGAAAAAGAAAATAAAACTCAATGGGGTTCCATGTAGATTTTTTTTTTTTTTTTTTTAACATAACCAAGCTAAGCACGGTGCGATTTGCTGGTGGGGTATTTCCCCCTCCACAGTAATCAATGCTATGATTCGCCTAAATAGACAATATCAAATATGTGTGTGTGTGTGTATATATATATATATAGTTTAAATATGCAACACACACGTTTAAACAACAAATAATAAAATCTGAACCAGCGCTTCTGCTCCTGTATTGAGAGATAACATGCAGCGTGTGTTACAGTTTCAGTGGCCTTAATACATTGTTCGGTGCTCACTTGAATTTATTTGTCTCATAACAGCTAAAATAAAATCATCTTTTAAAACTGTAAAAGGTGTACTTTTTTTCATGTAAAGTCGGCCTACACTCACAATAGGCTAACGACAAAACGTTTTCTTGCTCGTTTGAGTGAACACTCACTGGAGATCTAAACGTTTGGGGACTTCTCCATGAATTGAGACATGGCCGAGTGGTTGAACTTTCGGTTAGGACAATCCACCTTATTCTGCTCTAAATAATGCGCGCTGCCATGACGACGACTCCGGTTGTCAACTTCCGGTTCGAGTCTGGTCTATGCTTTTTGCCATGTGTTTTAGATTGTCTCATCCCCACATCGCTAAACTAAATCGGAAAAAAAAACATCCATCACATGTGATCTGATCACGTTATTTATTATTAAATCACAGATAAAAACAAAATGAACGTTTTTCTTTTCTTCATAACTTCCAAAGGATATGTATGACTGCACGATCTCCCTAATCCACCAATACATGAACATCCGACAGTTTCTATCACCCCGAGTGCTGCAGAATAACAGGACTATAAGGTTAGGCTGGTTAGCCCTTTACTGTCTACCTCTGCTTTCAAAGATACAGTCTATATTTCCCAGGCCTGTGAGGTTAACGTTACGCCGAGTTTTATTCATGAGATCAAAGTCCAGTCTGTGCGCTGTCGCCTCCGTCATGATCATCTATTGTTTATATACCTCTTATTTATTAAAACCAGTCAATTGGTTGATGAAACATTGATTTAAATTAAGATTCAATTAATAAAAAATGAAATTCACTTTAAAGAAAGGTTTATTTGTGGTTTCTCTTTAAAATCTCGGTGAAAGTTTTAAAGTCGCTTTCAGAACGGTCATGTCCGTGAATATAAAACGCATGTGTAGACTGATATTTTTCTAATGTCTGGACCACTGATCTATATAATATATCATTGTATAGATGAGTGGTCTGGACTAGAGTAGCATTCTATGTAAACAAATACTTCAACAGGAAGTGGAAAACCGTTTACTCAGTTGAAACCGCAATGAATCATGGGAATTAGAACGGGCGCAGAATAAGGTGGATACAATGACATCGGTTCGAAGCCCGATCAAACATGGACTACTGTAGTTAAACTTTATATTTTGGTATTAATGCAGAAAGATTTGTCTAGTTCTAAAACTGTTACACCATTTAGTTTTTTGCTAATATTTCTAAAAAAAAATTACCATGCATTTCCATTTTACACTAAGGAAGGAACAAATAGTATCCAACAGAATGACTAAGGCTTTACAATCGTAATCTCAAAAGCAGTTCTGTAAAAAAATAATAATAAAAATTATATATAATATATATCTTAAATTAAAATGTATTACTTTGGTCTGCACTCTGGTGTGTTTATCTGCTAAACTTCAATAACTCAATATATAAACAATATATAAAGCTAAATAGAAATGTGTTCACAAAATAAAAATAAAAAACTAAATTAATAAAAACGAACCTGAAATGTATAGCACATTTAAAAACAATATTAAAATAAAACAAAGTTTAAAATGCAAAACTATAATAACCTTGCCCTAAAACATATTTGATGTGTATTAAAAAGTAGCAATTTTTTTGTTGTTATTAGATCAGTGTTCATTCCCCAGTGAAAAACTAAGCGAAGTAGACATTTTCCTACTGTTGGCTAATATTTCATAAATACTTAATATTTGAGAAAACATTGCTGCACATATTTATTTGATTCTTACCTGAACTTGATGCCATTTCAACACCAACTCCTTGAAATAAAATCGAAAGAAAGTTGCTGATATATGAGAGCTCATCTGCCACGCCCACAGGGGTTGCGGGAAAATATTTCCCTGAAGGAAATCAAAAGTAAGACTCAAAACTTGCTTATATCTGGAATGATTTTCTTTTTGGGGGTTTGAAGGTGGTTTCTCAGCTGGATTGTATTGTTTGTTCTTGTTCCTGGTGTGTATTATATTAGTTTGTGTTTTTCCTTTGAGGACTGTAGTAGACTTCCCTGAGCTGGGTCCTCTAACTCCTCTGGAGGCGATGGTGTCCATCTCTGAACCCTCGGGCTGTCTTGTCACGGCCACGGAGGCTTACTGTGATCATTATGTCTACTCAGTTACTGCCACAGAGGCCGCTTTTGTACTCTCTGTGTCCCTTGACAAAGATCATTCTTATTGCTGGAATCATGTTGGGTCTTGTCGTCCTATGGCTGTATGTTTGTGGATTTCCTCAGGTCTGTTCCTTGTATATTTTCTCAGTTTTGTTCCTGGTGGATTTATTCAGTTCTGTTCCTCATGAGACCCTTATTCCCTGTGTGTATTTATAACCCTGTGTTTCAATAGTCTGTTGTCTGTTATGGTCAAATTGCAGCAAAGTTATTCAAAAACACAAACAGTAGCTGTGTTTCCATTACCCTTCAAATTGAAATTGTGAATTGAAAATACGCAATTTTTTTAATAGTTTTAATTTTATGCTAATTATACTACATAATATAGGATGATGTGAGATAGGTTATAGGCTATTAAAATAAAACCATATAACCTGTAGAGTAGGTTAGTGTTCTGCATTCAAACATTCCAATATGCAAAGTGAAGCATTCGCGTGACTGGAAGGTAAGATTTATCTTTGCTGTTTAACTGAAAACACAAAGCTGCTCGGTGACTTAAAAAAAAATCAGTGTGTAGCCTGAGATAAACTCCTCCAGGCGCCTCTGATAGGTTCTTGTTTAGATTTATGTAGTAAAAAGTAAAAAGGTGACCAGGGTTTAAAATTTTGCTTAATTCACAAAATAAAAATGTTAAGATAAAACTATTACAAACTCATTAATGAAACCAATAAAAATGGAACTGAATGTTACTGAAATATGTATTCAAATAAAAACGAATTAAAATGCAACAATATAGCTGCGAGCAGCGATTGCGGGCCCAAGCCGGTGGCACCACAACCCCTGTGCCTTTAGTTACCTAAAGGCACCGGGGTGACGGTACCACCGGCTTTGGCCCTTCTTCATTGTAACTGTAGATAAAACTAACAACCCCACTTTTGTCAAAAGGTGGCGCTACTTAGCCCCTGCACCATGCCCGTTTCTGAAACTTTGCACATGTCTACTGGCTAATAAATGTGATGTGTCTGTTGAGTTTAATGCAATTTCAAGCATGTTAAGAGTCTCAAAAGCTTCCTAAAAGAATTTCAAAGTTTGATGCATTTCCACGGCAACAGTATCAAAGATATCAAGAATCCATTCACAGGTCTTCATCTGCTGTGTATTTACATTATACAGATGAAGTTTGAAGCAAATCGGGTAAAATAAGAATGTGATTTCAAAGCATTTTGAAAGTGACACACTTCCTGCTGCCAGGTGGTGGCGCTATAACTTTGACTCACAATAGTCACATCCATGTGATCATCCTCTTACAGCGAACACACTGCTGAAGTTTCATCAAGATCAGTTTATGTATGCTGAAGTTATAACACACATCCTGTTTCACATTTCTCGCCATAATTCCGTTTCCTCGCCAGGGCCTAACCGTTCGAGATATCAAAAATCCCCTCGCAAACTTTCATCCTCAATGTCTTGACTTCATGCTGACGAGTTTCGTCGAATTTGGATCAAAGCTCTAGGAGGAGTATTCCAAATTCCATTGCATGCGTTTTACAAACAACCCTCAATAGCCGACTTCCTGTTGGGCTGGGGTAAAAAGTAATAGTATGAGGTATATATGAAACGATGAGATCTACATGTGTACCGAGTTTCATTTTATTACATGCAAGGGTCTTTGATTTATGGACCAAGTTCAGGCCCCCTGCCACGCCCAGGGTACCATCTGCAGTCCGGCCCTGATGGCCGCGGGTTCTGACCTGTGTAAAAACTCAGTTTCAAGAGTTTTCGAGCACGATAAGGGCCCCAAAAGTGCCCAAAAGGTAGCATAATAATAATAATAATAATACGTAATAAGAATAATAAATAATCCCAAGGAAAACAATAGGGCCTTCGCCCTTTCAGGGCTTGGGCCCTAAATATAGCCTTGGCATGGCCTAGATAATAGATTTTATGTGTATTGAAAGTTTTTCCAGTGATGGCAGAGCAGGCTCTGCCAAGGGAAGCCGTACCATGGAAGAATACATCTATGGGATCGCCGTAGGGATCACAGCATATGGACCCAGCCTAACACAGTTTCCACCAGTGCATACAAGTGATAGACCTGGTTTCGGATGGTCCGCCACGTCCGTTGCCGAAGGGGTTAGTGAACAGTGAGTAGTGAACACACACACTCACACACACACACACACACACACACACACACACACACACACACACACACACACACACACACACACACACACACACACAGAGCAGTGAGTAGGGGTTCAGAAGTTTTGGAATTTAGGCTAAGAGCTGGATGAACGAGTTTATTGATATTTTTTCATTGGTCTTGGAAACGAGCCTCCGAAATGCAATGTGATGCATAGTTGAATGTAGACTATCTGTATGTATATTTACAAATCTGAATGCATTCTGTCCAGTAGTGAACTTCAAATTTCACATGCTCAGGGAGAAGTGAACACTAGACTCTGCGCTTGCGTTGATTTACGGAGTAAAAAGACTTAACTGCTTCAGCTTGTGTATATTTGCATTCTTTCACTACACTGATCTGATCTGATCAATCTCAAGATGCTTTAAGATTGTGCCGCCACGTTTGCATCACTAAACTTACATTTAAATGTCTTTGGTTGTTCATTCAAATTTAAAAATGCTAAACTATAATAACATTAGTCTAGATAACAGAACTGATATGTACAAATGTATGTGAGTTCTAGCCTTTTATGTAAGTCGTCATTATTCTTCCTGGTGTTAAATGCCACTTTTAAACTTAAATATAAGAGTGTGACATAACTTAAAGAAGTAAACCATTGTCTGCTATTGGCAATGATCATAATATTTCATTGAGCATAAATGAAAGCCTGACAATGCTGAATGTGTTTTCTGATAGTATAATTCATAAACTGTGTACTGCATTAGTGATGCAATAAATGAAATGTAACAACAATAATTAAACTAAAACTAATTATAATAATACCAGCAGAGCTGTTTGAGGCAAGTGCTAAATGGTGTTCTAATTATTTTAAGGTTATTATACGGCATAATATATGATAATGTAAGATTATAAGGTTATAGGCTATTTCAATAAAAAAGTAAGTAAAAGGACTTTTATAAACCTGTAGAGTAAGTTAGTGTTCTGCACGACACGCAAAGTGAAGCATTCACGTGACTGGAAAGAAAACAAGGATTTATCTTCACAGTTTATCTGAAAACACAAAACCGCTCAGTGACTTAAAAAAAACAAAAACAGTGTGTAGTCTGAGAAACTCCTCCAGGCGCCTCTGTTGGGCTCTTGTTTAGACTTTTGAAGTAAAAAGTCTAGACCATTTTACTTCATTTTTCTATGTATATTTGCATTACATTCTTTTACTTTTACACGTCTGATTAGTCTCAATATGGTTTATTTTTTATCAATAAGGTCAAATTAAAATCTCTTGCTCTGGTCTGCAGTCTGGAAGATTTCTGTTAATTCTGCTTAGTAAAACTACTGAAACTAATATATATATATATATATATATATATTTTTTTTTTTTAAATGTGCTCACAAAATAAAAATGTTAAGTTAAACCTATTACAAACTCATTAATGAAACCAATAAAAACGGAACTGAAAGTTATTGAAAAATATATTAAAATATAACCTTGGCATGGCCTAGATAATAGATTTTATGATCGAGATGAAATATACTTTAATATCCCCCAGGGGGGGAATTTGGCTTGGGCTACAGCGACACACACTTATAACACACCACATAAAATATACACTGAGTATAGACAATACGAACATGCCTCATTACACTGTACCGTGAAAACGGTGCACAACACAGTTGGAATAAAAAGGTTTCAAGAAGGTAACAGTCATTTCTTACTGTTTAGCATCTTAATGGCAGCTGGCATGAATGACTTTTTATACCTATTTAGCCTGCATTTCAGCCTTCTAAACTGTTTTCCTGAGGGTAACAACTGCTTATTAAAGGATAATTGCGGTATTTAACACCTTGAGTCTATTTTGTAGTTTGTTTTGAATGAAATAGAGTGGTGGACTTAGAAATATTGACATTGGGTCCTGTCTCGACTTTTTGACTGTTTAAGAATTGCCTGTGGCAGCGTTAGACTGGCTGTCTATGGACATGCACAAACATGTCCATAAAACAACCCTTAGCGTTCATTTTCAACACTGTGCAACTCACCGAGTGGTTGGTGGTGTTCGTTGATGATTAAAAACAAATAATCGGCGCAGTGTATGCTTTCAATCCGTGTTGTTTGCTATAGTGGAACTATTTATTCAGATACTATTTATTCAGATTGCTTGCCCAGAATGAGTACCTCACAACCGCGTATAAACTTGCGCTCGATATTTGAGTCTGAAGCGTTAGCACACTCCTGACCACTTGATGGCGACAACCAGGACGCTGTACGGACACGGTGTCTAGCGCACCGTAAAAAAAGTCAGACACAGTCGAATATGGCAAGACGGAGAACCGAGCGAAAAGACTACAACCAAACGTAAACAGACCCCTTTCCGTTTCCGTTAGCTAGCCTAGCGCGGTAATATCAACGAGCACTAAGTCCTCCAGCAGACATCAATGCGATTTTAAAAAATGACAAATAAAACACGACAGAAACGGTATTTTGCTACGCTACTTGTTTCGGAACATCAACGAACACCACCAACCACTCGGTGAGTTGCACAGTTTTGAAAATGAACGTTAAGGGTTGTTTTAAGGACATGCCCACAGACAGCCAGTCTAACGCCGTCACAGGCGATTCTAAAAAAGTCAAAAAGTCGAGACTGGACCGAATGTCAAAATTTCTAAGTCCACCACTCTATTTCATTCAAAACAAACTACAAAATAGACTCAAGGTGTTAAATACCGCAATTATCCTTTAAGAACGTGGGTTGGGTTATCCAGAATCTCATGTGCCTCCTTGAGCACAGATTTTTCATACAATGACTGTAGGTACTGGTCTTGGTAACCTACAATTCTAAAAGCTGTACTGATCAGACGCCCCAACTCGGATTTAAACTGAACTGAAAGATTACCATACCAGGTCTGCATGCTATTGTCACAGTGTCGGGTGTATGTTCCCTGTTGTCCACTAGAGGTCCTCTTTCCCCACGGTTCACTTTTGAAGCTGCATTCCCCACAATCCTTGACTGTTCATTACACTCAGCTGTTCCCCATCATGATCGTCATGTTCCGTGTGTGTGTGTATATATACCCTGCCTGTTTAGTGTTTGTTACGTCCTTGTAATTTGTCACACCACTTCTGAGTCCTGTGTGCTTGCTGGTGTTTTTCGTATGTGGATTGCTTGCCCCTTTGCCTGAACTGTTGTGAGTATTACATCCTTTGTTGCAACCTGGTGCAAAGATTAAACATGAATGTGCCAGGTAAGAGAACAATCAATAGAAACACCCAAATAGTTTTTTGACGAATTGGTGTACAGTATTGTGAGTTAGGATTAGGTTCACAGATTGATCTTGGGTCAAATATCATCTCCTCTGTTTTAGTGACGTTAACCATCAGATGGTGAGCATTACACCAGTCCACAAACTGTTGTATTTCTGAATGGTAGGAAACTGTGTCTTTGTCAAATGATACTGCTATCCTTAGCTTATCGAATTGGGAACATGTAATTGTGTGGATATTTACTCACACACTCATTGGTATAAATAGTAAAAAGGACAGGGGAGCTCACACAACCCTGTAGTGGTGGATGTACTTTCACATATTGTGTCCGATTAGTTAAAAATGAGTAATACCATTCAACAATAAAAGAGCTTACACCCATATTTGTACGTGTTTCAAGTAAAATAACTGGCTGAATCGTGTTGAAGGCTGAACTAAAATCTATAAAAAGTAATCGTGCAGTGGCCATTGGGTCCTCCAAATGCTTTAGGACGGGTGGATGAAGTGGGTGATGATGCTACTTATAACATCATCTGTACTCCGACCCCGTTTATAGGCAAACTGCCAGGGATCTAACCAGTAGCGGAGTGGCAATCGGGAGTTTTCCCGGTGGGCCGGTAGTGTTTCGAGGCCGCGAGGGCCGGTCTGATAAAATGTATTTATTGGAAGTTTGCCATGTGCACTTGGGGCCAAAGTTAAGGGAAGAAAACATTTTTATTTTATTTTTTTACATTTTCTATAACGGAGCATATATTTGCACTATGTGCCTGTCTTTACAGAAAAAAGACGCCCGTCTTGAAACAGCGTCAGTGGCGTAGGTCGTAGGGCGTGATGTGCTTGAAAGCAGGTTTTGCTGCTCTGAACGCGAGTTCGAATCCGCCTTTTGCCGAACTTTCGGCAGAAACGGCGTTTTAGGTTCTCTCTTGTTGATTCTGAGGATTCTGATTGGCTTGCATGGTTTCATCCTTCTCCCTACAGCCATAGTTTTGGCATAGTTATGATGGCGCTCGACGGCGTATTTATGCAGGTGTGTGAACAATGTTATTTTTGAAAACGGAGGGGGAAAATATTCGTTTTGCTAAATACCCGGCTTTGTGTAAACGTGGCCTTAAAAAGCCCTTCAGCCTGATCAGTCTCGGGTGTGCGGGAATGTTGTGTATTGTGCATCAGTTTACTGTCAGAGATTTGTTGCTCGCACCGTATCCAGCATAGACAGAACCAGGCATTTTCTAAAAGTGTTTGTTTTTAGACGCACTGCTAGCGTCAGGTGTGGACAATGTGTTACTCTATTCATCTGTTCACCAGCCATTTTGAGAGGAATGGTTGAATTTAAATGTCGTAGATCTGACAGGCTCCGACTGCATGGCACCACACAAGCAATCAACTATAATCACAATAAAAGACTCAAAATACTTTTATTAACATATATTTGAGAATCTGAATATCAGATAATTCACATTCTAGTCAACAAGTTTATGCTTTGTTACTCTAAGTTACCCAGAGAAAGAAAATAATTCCCAGTTTGTCCTTGCATTAATTGCACGTCAGACGTTCAAGACCAAGAAAAATATGGGTGCCCTTAGTGAAAATAGTCATCTTAAATGTAATTAATAATAACATTAATTTGGGAAACGAGCACTAATGTGTTTAAGTTTGTGTTTAACTTGTTAAAATCTTGCGTTGAGGACTTGAAACTCGACTTGGACTCGCCGGTCATGAATCTGGATTTGAATACAAAGGCTCGAGACTTTCTCTTCTTATTCTCTTCATGTTGTTTCTGTCTCTTCATTCTTTCTTCATCATCTCTTGCATCTCTCTCTCATGATCCTCTATTCCTTTAATGTCTCTTTTATATTCCTCTTCTCTTTTCTTCTGATTCTGTCTTTCTTCCTCCATCATCATCTTCATCGTCTCTTTCACTTGTTTCAGTCTCTGATTATATTTATCCCATGTTTCCTGATCTTTCTTTCTCCTTTTCTCATCCTCTTCATCTCTTCTTTGTTTTTCCTCTTGTCTCTGTTTCTCATATTCCTCTCGTTCTCTCTTCATCTCCTCTCGCATCTTCCTCTCTTGTTCTTCTCTTTCTTTAATGTCTCTTTTGTATCGTTTCTCTCTCTCTCCAAACTCTTCTTCTCTTCTCTTTCTTTGATTTTGTATTTCTTCCTCCATCATCATCTTCATCCTCTTTTTCTCTTCTTTATGTTTGTTCATCAGTTCTTCTCTCTCTCTCTTCAGTTGATCCACTTCCTCCATCAGGATCTTCATCTGTTTTTCTTGTATTCCTCTTTCCATCTCTCTGAACATCTTACATGAGTAGTAACTGTCTCCGTTTTCTTTCACCATGTGGTCTATCTTCTTCAGTAGATCAGACACCTTTGTTCGGTCTCCAGTCTGATTATTGTTGAACACATGGTATCTGTTTTCACACACTTCAACCAGGTTTCTGATCACAGATCCAGGTTTTCCAAGCCACTGTTCAATGGTTTTGTTCTTCAGATCGTCTCCTCTGGTGAAGAGCACCATTGTGTACATTAAAGATTTCTCACCAAACATCTCTTGGATGATCTTCACTGATTTCTCCTCCTCTTCAGTGAATCGCTGTCCCAAATTGAGCACAATGATGAACACGTGTGGTCCAGGCAGGATCATGGAGATGCAGTTGCTGATTTCTCTCTGGATTTCTTCATTACTGGATTTAGTATCAAACAGTCCTGGAGTGTCGATCACAGTAACGTGTTGGCCGTTGATTTCAGCTGATTTTTTCTGACACTTTTTAGTAATAGACTTTTGAGATGTGTCCGACATAAACGCTCCTCTTCCTAAGATGGTGTTTCCAGTTGCACTCTTCCCAGCTCCAGTTTTTCCCAGCATCACAATCCTCAGATCATCCTCACTTTCTCTGGAATCTAAAGATAGATCAAATACAAATATATTGAATATAACAAGTACATTGCATTTCAACAACATTGTCAATCATCCATGTCATCAGAGAATATCATGTATAATTTATACTTTAGCATCATGTGCATATCATAATATTTCCTTTGAACTCTGCATATAATGTAATAGTTTTATCTCATCAATCAAAGTAATTCATGCAGATTTTCTGATCATTACCTTTTGACTGAAACCATGTCTCTAATGAATGGATTCTCTTCTTCATTTCTTCAAATTTCAGCAGTTTTTCCATCTGTACTTCCATCAATGTCTCTGTGGAGAAACGAACACCACTATTTTCCTCAACCATCTGCTGTAGTTTCTCCATTAACACGGACACTTGTGTGTGGGGGCCGATGAAATAATGTCGTCCTCCAAAACTCTCAATGACAGACTGTGTTTCTTCATTCAGTTCTTCTGTCTTTTCCTCTGAATTCTGGTTTATGAGGATCATGATGTGTTTGTTGATTCTTGAGCTGAATATCTTCTGGATCTTCTCCATTTCTGCTTTGTCTTCATTATTAAGTGGAGCATCAGGAATAGTGAGGAGGAAAACATGAACTCCAGGATCACAGAGAGACACACAGCGGAGAATCTGGAGCATCACTTCCTCCTCTGAGATCTGTGTGTTGATCAGATCTGGAAGCTCCACCAGAGACACCAGACGTCCATGAAGCTCCACGTCTGTCCTCAAACACTCTCCGGGCTCTGGTCTTCTGTCTCCGGCGTTCAGGATCAGGTTTGATATGAAGGATTTTAATCTTCTGTTACTCCCACACAGAACCAGATTCAGCTTCACACCCTCTGGAACTGGGAAAGGAACAAACTAGGTTAACAATGTGGTTTTAACTTAATATTACTGAATTACGTATACATATCATGTCAGAATAACTGCAGTCCAGCTACAAGAAGCATGATTCAGGTAGTGATTCTTGCCAAAGGGGGTGTTACTAATAGGGGTGTTATGATTCTCAGTAAAATATCAAACCGTACCGTTCTCCACAAGAATCGCCGACAACTCTGTCTCGCACGCTGTGCGCAAACTACGTTTCACAACAAACACACGCGAGATGTGACAAGGAAACAACGCGACATCACACGTGCAAGACTGGAGTTTTCACGCGAGACTTTTTCTTTTTCGAACCGGTTGTGGTATAGCTCAGATGAAACGTCAAACAGAAACGGTGCTCCTGTCAAATTTCGACAAATTTTTCTTCCATTTCTTGGGTCCAAATAGACCGAGAAGAAGCCTTTTTCTGAAACAACGCCATGCTTGTTGATATGTGATCTATAACTCCTCCCCGAACTCCAGCTGCTCTGTATCTTGCTCTCTCATTGGCTGTCGGTAATCGCCGATGTCGTTTTCAGTCAGGAACGCCGACAGGTCGAGATTTAGCATGCCAAATATCTCACGGGCGTCGGCGATTCTCTCAGATCGCGTCTTGGCTCATTCACACAGCGGGATTGTCACTCGCGTGAACGAGCACCGATTTGCCTGTGATTTCGGGCATATGTCGGTAGGGTTGGGTATCGAGAATCGAGTATCGATTGGAACCGAGACTAACTTTTAGTTTTTCCCGGAATCGTTCAAAAGTTAAAATTTCGATTCCTAGTTTTGAAATTCACAGTCCTCCGAGCGGAAGAAGAAACCGCTGAACAACACCAACGAAGAAGCGTCTACTGGAAGTGTTGGCATAACCGCGCGAGTCGAACATGAGTAGCTTACGTCGGCGGTCCAAAGTGTGGCTTCACTTTTCTAAAAATAACGAAATCTCGGGCAAGATGCAAAATTTGTGACAAAAGGAGTATTTTTACAGAAGGAGTATTTCCTTCAGAAAGGCCGTTGGTTAGCAAGGTTAGCTAAACTTTTTTGACCCTGCCTCTTAAAAGAATCGGAATCGAGAATCGTCAGGAACCGGAATCGAAACAAGGAATCGCAATCGCAATCAGAATCGTTCCAATTCAAACGATACCCAACCCCATATGTCGGCGATTTCTCAACCTGTCGGCGAGCCAAAATCGCGCAGTCTGAACTCGGCATAAGACTGTTACAAATCATGCCTTTGTGGTTCCTCCCGCTCACCACCAGAGGGTTCCCTCACCTGAGTATTGACTCTCTTTCCCTGGACATTTAACTTCTTAGGCCCTGTTTACACGAGAACACTCGCGGGTGAAAACGTAAAAATATTTTATCTGATGTGCCTTTCGTTTACACGGCAACGGCGTTTTTGAGGCTCAAAAATGCAAAAAAGTGAAACCACTCTCCAGAGTGGAAATCTTAAAAACGCTCCACCGTCGCGCTCGCGTATAAACGGTAAAAACGCAAAAGTCTGCTTGACGGTGAAAGTTGTACGCAGGTGCGTGGACTTGGTGTTGTTGTAGTATGCACTCCTAGCCGCCTGAAGTGCATACTACATTGAATTTCACACACTTTTGCGTCACCATTTGCACGCGGATTTCCCACACAAAACGCTCGTCTAAACGCAGAATAAAAAAAGATGACGCAACGCCACTTTTACGTTTTTTTCTTCAGAATCGTTTCTGTGTTAACATAGCCTTATAATCCCCGTACCTGGTACTGATTGCCTCCACACCTGTTCCCTATCTACCAGACTATTTAAAGGCATTCTCTCACACTCATACTCTGTGAAGTCTTGTTTTGCCCTGGCTGACATTACTGAGCGGTCTATTGTTATTTTTTCTTGCCTGAGTTTGACACGGTTTACCCTGTTTTTAAGCTTACCTGCCTGCCTTTTGCTCAGACCTTTGCCGATCGCTAAGACCTGATAGTTAGTCATTATTTTCTTTATTTTTATTTGACTGTAATCCTTTTTTACCTGAACATCGTACATATCGAACTATTCCCGAAACGGTGACCCTAATACCGTGATACAAGCCGAACCGCGAGTAATTTGAAACGTGCAGAAAAATGCAGGTGCTAAAACTGTTAGTAGAGGCTGAAATACACAGGACTTTTACAATCTGAATAGATTTTAAAACACTAGGCATCATTCGCTTGCCGACTTTGTAAATGGTTACATAGGAAAAACTGGGCATCATACTGTACACTAAACAACTGAGGATAATACACTACATGAATTTATGAAACCTGTCAGCTTAAATCTGCAGACTGGCTCTGACTTTCGGCAACTGGCATCAACTTGTCCAGAAAGTCGTGTAGTGAATCCCAACCTTCAGAGTCTGGTGTTGTATAGGGACAATATACTTTACCCAGTCAATACCCAACAAGCAATTTTGCTTTTAAGACATCTAATAGCGTCCAAACAGCCCAGACGTCTAGGCTTAATTTGGTCTGTCAGTGAAAATTTAATAGATCTAAACCATATCCCAAGAATAGATTATTCAGTTGGATAACAAAGAAATAAAACGAGTGAAGAAATGAAACCAAACACCTTGTAAGCAGTTTACTTTCCTTACATGATGGAATATTAAACATCTCGCAAGTTATTTTGGCAAAAACTACATGTAACCAAATTCAAGGTTATTTTGTGTAGAAGTGTGTGTTACTTATAGCTGGACTCTATCGGGTCGATAGTTAACCTAGACAGTGAAATGACAGCTATTGCATGCTGGGTAGTTGCAAAAGATTCAAGAACATATTCAGAAATATAAATGAATCCACTCACCCAGTGTCTTGATCTTCTCCTGTAACTCTGTGATTTCTTTCTCTCTCACACTGAGTTTCTCCTCTAGTTCATCTCTGACTCTCTTCTCTTGAGCTCTCAGATACATCTGAAGTGAATAGGGTTCAGTCTTCAGGCTCTCTATACAATCCAGCATTCTTGAGATCTGTCCGGAGATTATATCATCCTTTAACCCGATCACACTGTACCAGCTCCCATAGAGACTCACGATGCTCTGAGATTCTGCGGATAATACACAATCTGACACACTTCTGTCATCAGTGAGATCAGCAGTGAAAAGCACCATGAAGTGCTCATTAGAGTTAAATATTCTTTTAATCTTCTCCATTTCTGCTCTGTCTTCATTAGTCAGTGAACCGACAGGAGTAACGAGGACAAAAGCATCAACTCCAGGATCACAGAGAGACACACAGTTGAGAGTCTCCCGCATCACTTCCTCCTCTGAGAGACGAGTGAGAGCCGGAAGCTCTATTACCGTAATCTGCCGTCCATTCATCTTCTCCTCTTTCTTCACACACACTTTGCTTTTTTCTTTCTGATGGAAATTTTTCTTTTGTTTATTTATTGTCCCTCTAAATATTCTAGACACTGAGTTCTTGAGTGTTGTATTATATCCACACAGCACAATGTTCAGCTTTGCTTTTCCAGAAGTAGTCACTGAAACAATATTTAGAGACAGTAGAAATAGTTTAGCTTTGGCAACAAAAGTACACGTCATTAAACAACAGAACAACTCGGCTACTTTTTCACAATACACAAGTGGAATGGTGTTTCTGAAAGTTTGATATCCCCAGTCTGGTAAGCCTTCATTTTAGGGGTGAACAGTGACAGTCTATCAACAGTATTACTCAAACTGTCTGAAAACAGAGAAAATACGGAAAGCCGTACAATCCCATCAATGGCAGGGAAAAAGTTAAACGACAAAAAAATAAATATTTCATGAGCATATTCTTAGAGGTATTATCCTGAAAAAAGTACTTTAACAAACCTCGTCCATCACTTGCTGTTTTTGTATTCTGTTTTCCATCCTCCTTTGTGCCATCTCCTCTGAATAAACCCCCGGATCTACTCAGATCTTCATCTTCATACATGTTACAGACGAGAAATTCTTCTTGTTCTTCCTTCAGCATCTCCTCTATTCTTCTGATCATCTCAGAGCGCCATCCTGCGTTTCTTGCATCAAACTTAAGATGTCCTCCTCCACATTCCTTTGTTAAATTACTAATGATGTTAGAAGCCGATCTGATGTTGGAGCCTATAGTGGTATTCAATAGCCTAGCAGTAATCATTGATGTGCGTGTGTCTTCATCAGTAGTCAGCACTATGGTGTGTTTAATGGCCTTCACACTGAAGAGGTTCAGCACAGTTTTCACTCTTCTCAGGTCGTCATCAGTGAAGTCATTATATTGCAGGACTAGTAAGATCACATTAGGTCCTGGAGCAGACTGAGACACACACTCTCTCACTCCCTGTTTTATCTGATGCTGTGAGAGATGTGGCTGGAGAAGATGAGCAGTGTTGATGACTATGAGGTGTTTTTTCTCCACCGTTGCCCTGCTGATCTGACTGTGCTGCTGTACATCAGATGAAGCCGCGTCCCTGTAGTGCCCTGCTGTTCCCAGTATAGTATTTCTCACTCGGCTGTTTTCTGATTCATTCTTTCCTAGCAGAACAATCCTCAGATCATTCACTGAAAAAGAGCAGAGACACACACATGTTGGATTTCAAAATGTTTTATGTAGTTTTCATAGATTTTATACTGTATAAACTAATCAACTAATCTAACTAATAAACTCAAACTAATAAACTCGAGGTGTTCGGGTCCAAATGGACCCAAAGGCCGGGATTCATATTTAAAAAAAAAAAAAAAATCATGAATCAAGAATCATTTTTTTTTTAACTCGTTTTTTATAATATTTTTTCTTTTCTTTTTTGGTGTTTTGAGAAAATTTCAAAAATAAAAAAAATTTATAATTAGTATTAATGCAATAATTATGACAAAGCCTAGGCCTCATAAAAGCAATTTTTGAAATGAGATGGATGCCATCTGGTGGACAAACTGAGCATTTTAAAAATGCAAAACACATGTATAATCTGAATTTTTTTGGTGTGTTTGTGTATAAAAGTGTGTGTGTGTGTGTGTGGATGTGTCTGTTTTGCACTCTTGATGTTTTATAGATTCACCCCTTCACTGTTGTGTGCTTTTTTTCAAGATCGTGCCTGATATGTAGATTGTATGCACAAAAAACTCAGTATTTTCACATTTTTGTCAATTTCCCAGTCATTTACCATGTGGGTCCATTTGGACCCGAACACCAAATACCAAATACCAACAAAATCACCAAATTTCGGACCATTCTGAGGAAGCTGATTTTTAAAAAAAAAAATTATTTTAATTCTTCGGGTCCATTTGGGCCGAACAACCCCAGAGGGTTAATTTGTACATAGAGTCTAGCCTCGCTCCAATGACATGCGTTAACTTTCTTGTAGGCGGGTACTCTATTGAAGTCTAAAACTATTGGATCTGCCCATCTGCCATAACCAATCACTAACGTTTGGTTGTGACTTTCTTTTCCCAAACCCTGTGAGAAGGGCCACAACATCATGGCCACCAACAAAACTCAGCAAAGATTGTTCTTGCTCCTGCTTTAACTTCTTGATATTCAGCAGCGTTGTCACAGCAGACCGAATGGCTGTAATGAACTACAACTCAAAATAACTCGGAGGGTAAGTGTTTTTTTAGAACTAGGAGTGTGGAGGGGGGAGTCTGCAAACTGTCAATGAATCGAGGTAAGACTGTTGAGTCTATATGTACCCTCTTATCATTGATTGCTGATTGCTGTCCACTCGTGTTAATTATCTGAACGTGCTCCTCCTGAACTTAGTTAATAAAACTTAATTTCACCAGTTCACACTTACATATAATTTTGAGTGAGTAAGATTTAATGTGTATTTGGCGTGCTGTCCGGGGGAAGGGCTCCGAGCTCAGAATTCAGCCCGAACCCAGAGTACTCCCACCAATAGGCTAAAGAGCAGCGGACAGCCGCCGGACTAAAGACCCCCAAAAGAGCGACGAGATTGGCAGGCTGGCATCTCGAGAACAGGCATGGATGCTTGATCGGGGAGGCCCGTGATGGTGGCTCACTGCCTGCAATGACAGCCCCTGTTTGTCTGCGAACGAGGAGCGGTTGTAGTGTACTTGCCCAGGAGATTTTCACACTGCATCCGCTGTGAGACCAAATGCTCGCTGGATGAAAGAGATAACGCAAGTACTCTACTGGGAAAGTTCTCGCTCCGTCCGCTGTGAGACCAATGCACACAGGATGGAAAGAGGACAACTGAAAAGAGGAAAAATTAGTGCTTGCCCAGGAGATTTTCTCACACTGCATCCGCTGTGAGACCAAATGCTCGCTGGATGAAAGAGACAACGTAAGTGCTCTTCTGGGAAAGCTCTCACTCCGTCCGCTGTGAGACCAATGATCGCTGGACGGAAAGAGGAACCTGGAAAGAGTTACCCAGCGCTTGCCTCAGTCCAGCTACGGTCCAATTCCCGATGGATGGGATCGTCGGGACGGCCGAGCGGTAGGAGGAAGCTGGGGAAGAAGATGGGAGTCTTGTCGGGGGTGGCGAAGACTGGTCATGGCGTCTTGTTGAGCGCCGGGTTGATTGGGCCGGTGTGCGGCCGCAAGGAAAAGTGTCTGAGTGGCACAGGAGGGATGAGCGTGGGACCGACGGAGTGAGAAGATGCATCCCTGGTGATTTCTTTGTCGGAAGAGGGGCTCATTGGAGACATAGTTGCAAGTAGCTGATCGAAGAAGAGAATCGCTGCAAACTGTCAATGGATTTAGGTAAGACTGCTGAGTCTATATGTACCCTCTTATCATCGATTGCCATCTTAATTATCTGAATGTGCTCCTCCCGAACTTAATTGAATGGATGTTATTAATGTCTTGAAGCAATGTCTGTTTAACTTCAATCACCTTGTAAACAGTCTTAATCAGCTTCTGTTTCTACCAGAAAAGCGCTATGTATGTATGTATTTTATGTATTGCAGTGAGGGGCCCATTTGAGTGGCATTTTCTTCACTTCTGCAAAACTTTCATCTCGACCCCACCTCTTACCCCAGTCTCTTACTAATCACTTGCCATGTAAGCATGTCTTTGAGTTGCTTCTAACAACCGTTGAAGTTAACAACTGTTGCTTCAAACAACTATTGCTTCATGGCTTTTTCTATTCAACTGCTATGCACATGCATGCTTAAGCAGAAGCGTATAAAAGAAGAATGAGAGAGACTCTTCGCTCTTCCTTTCGTTCACCAACCTAACACACCAGCAGTTGTCAGGGGCAAGAAGCTAGTATCTATCTGTTAGTTATTACTCATTTATGATGTGTAACAAGTATTCCCTTTTCAATATATTATTTCAATACGTTTTATTAAAACATCGATTATAATCATCTGACTGAACCTTGGATCATTGAGTGTAAATCACATTCTTCTAACTGGGACAGGAAGCTCCTTTCAGAAGAGAACGACATCAGAGGGTGAGCATCCTCTTGAACTAAGAATAGCCGTGAGGTTTGATTGATCAGATAAGCCTAAACAAAGAGGCAGCGTGAAACATGTATATGTGTATTGAATATGCATATTACAGGTAGTTATAATGCAAACACGGTTTAAGAGTGCCATTAAAAGGTAGACTTATGATATAAAGGGGAAATTTATTCTTTTATAATAGAATATGAATTTATATACGTACTGTAGACTGATCACCTAACTCTTGAGGACTAAAGGATAGGCTCTTTAGTTACAGCGGGATTATATATAAATGGGAATGGTATTAATGTATGTATATGTGTATGTGTACATACACCCGTCAGATTTCAGCAAACATTTTAGTATATCTTCTCAAGGGACAATACTATAGAAATGAGAGGTCAGTGTGCTACTTGTATAGCAGTATATATTTACCATCCTCTGAAAATAACTCAACATACAGCCATTATTGTCAAAATAGCTGGCAATAAATGTGAGTACACCCTAAGTGAACATGTCAAAACTGTGTCAATATTTTGTGTAATCTAGCACTGTCTTAATCCTCCTGGGCCTGGAATTCACCAGAGCTGCACAGGTTATGGCTGAGACCCTCTTCCACTGGTCTGACCCAATGGTTTGCATAAGAGAAAGTCCACAACCCAATCACAGAGGGGTCGATGGGTCACTATAGTGTTGAAGGCTGAGCTATTGTTACTTTACTTTATTGCTGTTAGTGTGGGTGAGAGGCATACAAGATGCAAGAAGTCATGCAAAAACAGGATGTGGTCAAATCAGAGGTGCATACAGAAGCAGATTAACAGATTGTATTTACAAATAGATGAGCACAAGTAGGAACCCATGTGGCAATTCACGATATGCCTGGCATGGGATTAAGAATATGACAAATCTAAGAGGCAAACTACCTCTGGTGTTACAAGGATGTGAGGAGCATCGTCTGGGCTGCATTGCGACTTTTGTCTGTTAGGCCAACTTAGTTTGAATAAAGAGCAGACACTGATTAGCAACTTGCTCTACGTTTATTTAACATTAACAGCAAGACTACAAGTGAATGTGATTTCCATTTTTTTTTTTTTTTTTTTTGTCGACAAAACCTTGACAAAAAAACTTTGCAATGATATTTGCAATTTAGATGCGCAAACTGGGTGCCGGTGCGGTGAGATGTGCATGCTTCGGCTTGAAGTCGTTCATCCTTGGACCCGGCGCTGCAGGCGCTGTTAAAAAAAAATCCGTGCACACTACCAAGCGAAATGGGGTCTTGCGCACCCAACGCGCACAACCGCCCACACCGCAATTACGTAACAAAGTCTCGCAACATGACATCATGACTTTTGCGTAAACATACACGGCACTTTCAAGTCAAGTGAACGCATTTTGAGCGTTCCGCGTGTATGCGTGCACTACGCCGTTAAATGTCCGAGTGATTCCGCGTGTATGTACACGCTGTTAAATGTCCGCGCGAAACGAAGCAAAATGTAGATCTACATCTGGGGAGCGATATATTTTTTTTCCTAGGATGGTAGGGGAACAGTCATAAATGCCATTGACCCCAGTGACGGGTAGATTTAGGGATGGGGTTGGGGTAGGTCATATATTTATATATACAGTAATAACGTTAAGTTAACGGCGTTCATAAACACGCTGAAAAGCGATTATGCGTGTTGATAGCACGCCAAAAAATGGAAATACGAATTGGCGTGTCATACATACGCCATTTCATGAGATCTCATATGGTACATCCTTCGCCTGGCTTTTTTTACTTGGGCTTCAATGTTAGGAGTCCAGGTCAATTCCTCAGAGACGTGCACTCCGATGTTTTGGAGTGGGATGTAGTGCCATCTCTTTGGTTTCACTGACGTTCAGAAAGAGACACCATGATTAGGGTTGGGTATCGAGAATCGAGTATCGATTGGAATCGGGACTAACTTTTCGTTTTTCCTGGAATCGTTCAAAAGTTAAAATTTCGATTCCTAGTTTCGATATTCACAGTCCGCCGAGCGGAAGAAGAAACCGCTGAACAACACCAATGAAGAAGCGTCTACTGGAAGTGTTGGCATAACCGCTCGAGTCGAACATGAGTACCTTACGTCGGCGATCCAAATGTGGCTTCACTTTTCTAAAAATAACGAAATCTCGGCAAAATGCAAAATTTGTGACAAAAGGAGTATTTTTACAGAAGGAGTATTTCCTTCAGAAAGACCGTTGGTTAGCAAGGTTAGCTAAACTTTTTTGACCCTGCCTCTTAAAAGAATCGGAATCGAGAATCGTTAGGAACCGGAATCGAAACAAGGAATCGGAATCGGAATCAGAATCGTTCAAATTCAAACGATACCCAACCCTAACCATGATGCCAGTTTCTCCACCTCATAGTGTTGCACGGTGCACTGGTCCTTCAGAATTATCAAGATTCTCGGAAATCAAAAACGTCACGATTCCTAAATGTATTAGTATATTAGTAAATTGTTTTATACTGTTTTAGTCTTTCCTGTATGTGAAGCACCTTGGGCAACATCTGTTGTATTATGTGTGCTATATAAAAAATAATAAATAAAAAAAAATAGTATTGATAGTTCTAAGAATGATCGCGTTTCAGGTTTGTAAGAGACATATTTCATGTTGGTGTGTGCAACGCAACGCACGCTTCCAATGCCTCCCTATCGACGTCTGTGTTTTTTCTCCTGTCATGACAAACACTACAGCGAGACGGCTGCATGCGCGAGCACAAGTGATACTGTGGCCGCGGGTCAGCGGAGTGGTAATCCGGCGATCCGACTTTTGTTTTGTTTCAAGGCCGCGAGGGCCGGTCTGATTATACGTTGCAAGTTCTTAGCAACACCATCCAAGCGGCCTGGTGTGCAGGGACACGTTTGTGTACATTTTATTTTGTGATCTCACCGGAACGAATAGAGAGTCTCCGCAATAGAGAAAAGTCAGAATTGCCAGATATAAAGTCAGAATTGCGAGATATAAAATCAGAACTGCGAGATGTAAATTTGAGGAATTTGATTTGAACTCAATAACCGGTATTTTAGATAGCCCGACTGGAATAGAGTGCCGAAGTTACGACGTCACTCTGTAGGCCGAAACGCGGAAGTGAGTTAGCATTTTAGCACTACGGTTCCCTCGCTCTAAAGCCTATGGGATTTTTGAATGGGTTTTTGCTAAATCGCCTGAAATAAGGTCTGTGGTGAACAAAGCCTCTAAATATTTTCACGTTTTGATCTCTGACACAGAACACACAGTTATAACCTGCTTGTGGTTTTTTTTAAACTTTATTGTGTTTTTTAAAATCTTTATATAGGCTTCAAAATGTTTACATTTTGGATTAACTTGTAAAGATTATCTTGCTAGACAAAACGTGTAAGGGTCACAACCCTTTGTTAAACACAGATCTTATTTTTTGCGATTTTCCAAAAGTCTATGGGGGAAATTCATTGCTTTTCGACCGAGGGAACCCATGCGCCGCTAGCTTCCGAGTTGTCCTACAAAGTGACGTCATCACTTTTACGAGCGCGTCCGAGTGAAGACTGTGCACGAGCCGCAATGACACTAGCTGTGTCTGAAATCGCTCCCTATCCACTATATAGTGCACTATATCGGGTGTCGGCCATTTTGTAGTGGTGTCCGAATTCTGAGTGAATGACATCATTCCCTACATTCATTCACTACTTTTACCCACAATCCTCTCTGAATTCGAGTGTACATTCGATGTACACTTCCTGAAGCCCTATTTCCCACAATCCAATGCGGAGAGAACTGAGCGCGCATGAAACATTACATCCAGTGGAGGATTTGAAAAATATCCGTTAATCGTCGTTTTGAACATAATAACGGTCGCCGGAGGGCGCTCGACGACACGTCATCTGTGAACGTGAGAGTTAATGTACAATTTCAGTCAATGAAACGACAAAGCTGGCACGGAGGTATAATTACAAAATAAAGTCATTATGATTGTTATTGTTGTTAATATTATTTTATAAAGTAGGTAATGTAAGATAAAAGGAGTTTTATCAGTACGCGTGACGAAGCCTTTTCTGCGACAGCTCCAACTCTCCGACGCACAGTGTAAACGTCAGCGTCCGAATTCACTCACTTCATCTCGTTCACTCCTTGCAGATATAGTGCACTCAAATGCCATACACTATATAGGAATTAGTGAATGAGTGAACGAGTGAGCAGTTTCAGACACAGCTACTGTATCCATAGCCGCGTTTCCACCGCAATTACCAGGAACTATTCGTCTCAGGAACTTTTTTGCCCCAGACCGGTTGCCTACAGCGTTTACACCGTGGACTAAAGTACCGGGAAGATTATGTAAATTAGTCTGGTGACGTTGAACTGCGTGCGACTGCTCCTCCCAGTCTGCGCGTTTGTTTTGAGTTTTAAGTATGGAAAAAGATTCAAGCTGTGCTGCTTTTGTGTCTGTGCAGTCTATTGAGGTAATTAACAAAACAGCTGAAAAGAGACGAGCACTAATACCAAAGTGTATTCCCAGAAAGCTAGATATAAAAGTAGACAACGTTTGTTATCAGCTATAGCGGACATTGACCGTGAGATGGATGGGACCAACGCGTGCCATCGGGCAGAAAGAACAAGTGGTAAGAACCAATCAGCACGTTCAGCGCACAAGTCCCACCCCGAAAGTTCCTGAGCTCTGATAAAGTACCACCTCGGCTGCAGGGACTTTCTGGGGGGGAAATTTTTACCCAGAACCTCATTTAGACCCTGGTTCCTGCGGTGTAAACACAGCGACTACCACCCCAAAGTTCCCAGTTCCTGGGGAAAGTTCCTGCGGTGGAAACGAGGCTCATGACACTCGTAGCAGTGGCAATCAGTGCTCAGCTTGAGCTACAAAAAACAACAGATTTTAGCGCTAGAGCTCTTATTTAATAGTGAACTAGTTAACTGGAGATGTTTTATTTATTTTTGTATTAGGTGTACAACTTTCATAGATAACATTAATAATTAGCAGGCTGCTAAAATAAAGCATTCAAAACATCAGCTAAAATGATCTATATGATTATAATCAGAACATGTTTGTTATTTATTTATATTACAGCATTTAAAGAGCACAGACCTACGCAAAGGAGGTGAATTTGTGAAACGCCTTGTAAGAAATACTTTTTGAAATCGCATATATTGACTTGGTATCGGTATCGTAAATCAATAATTTTGGTATCGTGACAACACTACCAACTCATCCAGATAGGCGCCTCATTGTTGTCAGAAATGAGGGCCATCAGCACATAGAAGTGGAGCTGTGAGAGGACGTAGAGGTATAGTGTATAGAGGGAGTAGAGCGGTGTGGTGTTCCTGTACTAAAGGAGATGATGTTGGAAATGGTCTGACCCATTCCAAGTCCACAACCCAATCAGGGGTCAGTGGGGAACTAGTGTTGATGGCTAAGCTATTGTTTATAATAGCCTTCATAATTCACTTGTCAACAAAATGCTGTCAGTGTGGGTGAGAGTGGCATACAAGATATGCAGGAAGTCATGCAAGACACAGGATGTGGTAACGCAGAGGTGCATAGAGAAGCAGATTAACAGATAAATTACAGTATTTTCTAACTCATACAAAAGCATTCACTGAGCTTTTCAGACATTTATACATATTGTTTTATAAAAAGAAAAATTGACAACTTAATATTACTGTCAGTGATTTCATTTACTTACCGTTAGGATGATCATGATCTGAACAACTTTGTGCTGCTGCTAGCAAAAAAACCACAGACAAACAAAGAAGGACAGAGAAAACAGGTGGTTTAGACATTTTACATTAATTAACATTTCCCAGATAGCAAGCAATAATTTAAGCAATGTTTAGTCAATGTTGATGCATCAACACTAATTACATTGAATTAACACTTTCTTCACCCATCTTACGTCAAACTTTCAAAGCCGAACCAACATGCTTTAAACATTGAAAATGGCAACATGCAGAGGGTGGGAAAAATGATATTCTGTATTTATTATAAAGTAAATAAGGTGAAATTTTGCACCCATTCGTTAAAATATGGAAGATGTTTGTGTATTATTTAATTAAAATTCATAAAGAATTATATATAACTTGGTTATAAGGTTATATATAAATGCATTAGCTGCTCCTGACCATAAAGGTGGGGCAGAGTATAAATTTGTCCAAAATTATTAATGAATCTAATTAAACTTATGAACTTATAAAAACGTATCAACTTGAAAACTGAAACTTTTAGCGAAATTCGAAAATAAATGCAAATAAAAAACTATAATAATAAAAAAAAAACTTGGCCTAGATAACATATTTTATGTGCAATTTTTTTTTATTATGTGAGATGTAGCCTTTTACGTTGGTTGCTCGTTTCCTGATGTCAAACAAGTGTAAGAGAGCAGTGAAATAATAAACTAAACGAAGAAAACCATTTCCTGGGCTGCTGACTAATATTTCATTAAAAAAAAACTGCATAAATCATTGAGGAAACTGTGCTTCAGATATTTGAATGTAATTTATTCTTACCTGAACTCGACGCCATTTCAACACCAAGAGCTTTAAATCATAATCGTGAGAAAGACAAGAGCTCATCTTCGCCACGCCCACCAGCGGTCAGTTAGTGCAAGACGAGAAATTATTTTGTGTATGGTTAAGATGATGCTCATGTGTTTTTTCCTTTGTGTTTTAAATAAGGACCACTAGGAGGTGCTCAAGGCATGTTTTGTGTGATGGGTTGAAGAGACAGGCTATGGTACTTGATGATGAAAACGAAAGTAAGAGTGACGCTCGTTCATTCATACGATTTACAGTGAAATTTGTTATTTATTAAAATAAACACATTAATAATTTCATCAACATGCGACTCGCATGAAATTAATTTTAATATTATTTGTTAATAGTACTTGCCCCGCGGACATAAACTACCGCAGATTTTGGAGAAAAGTGGTTTTATTTGAGTGGATTAAGAATGAAGATTGAAATTATGCATTTAATTTTTCCTTTTTTTTTACCCAGAAATAAAATACGGAAGATGTGGTTCTTCTGTAGTTGTTCTGATATTTAGAATGGGGAGATACAAACAAACTCATATTCATTAATCAAAATTTTGATGTCATTAAACATCATAGAAAATATACAACGTGATTTTAGTAGTACACAGCACCGGCTCCTGATCATAAAAGGGTGGCATAATGGCCCGGTTTCCCAGACAGTGTTTAGATTAAGTAGGGTTTAGGTGTTAGTTAACTTAAATGAGTGTATTTAAATAGCTTTTATAAACATGCCTTTGAAAAAAAAAAAAACAACACATTACTGGAGTGCAGTTTGAGAATGGCACTGACATATTTTAAGATCTATCAATGCAAGTTGCAAGTTAAAAACAGCTCAAACATTGATTAGAGCGTCTACGCCAACACCAAGGTCAGGGTTCGATATTCCCAGGAAAAGCAAGAACTGATAAAAATGTAATAATAAGTTGGATAAAGCGTCTCTGCCAAAAGCATAATGGAAATGTCATTGCTAATTTCACCATGTGATTTGTGGAAAAAAAAAAAAACATAAAGAATGTTTACATGCATGTCAGAGATTTCTCAATGTATTTTAATATAATATATGTCTGGTTGCAGTTATGCAGGCTATCAACTGAGAAAGTACAAAATAATCACAACTGAATCATTCAATCATATCACTTATATGAACAAACAATAACAGTGAGCATATGAGCATAACAGTTATAAAAATAAATAAATAAATAAATAAAAGATTAATTCGTTCTATGCTGAAATTACGTCACTGAAGACAGTTTATGTAGAGGAGCATGCGCTAATATTTCCAGAGGTTTTCAAACACAAAACAGGAAACTCATGAATATGCGTAGGCTCCGCCCAGTGTCACCAAAAAATCTCTGACAACGAATCAGAACACATGACTGTGCCTTATTAGCATAGACCCCGCCCCTGAATGAGCTGCACAGCCTCATTGCCTGAGCAAAATAAAACCTATGAAAATAAAACCTAAAAATAATCCGTAGGGAATGCTTTTGTTCATCTTAATGGTAATACATTTCAAATGCCAACATGCAGCCTGATTCCCATATCTCACAGACATTTTTTGTTGTTGTTTCTAAACAGTTAAGACAGACTACAGCAAACCTTTTATTTAAACCTTTAACTGTCTGCTCGACCAAATGTTTGTACATTTTGTCTGTACACTTTATGTTACTGAGAGGAGGGAGTGGGAGGACCTAGTTCACTGATTGAGCCATCTCTAGCGTCTGGTTGAGGTATGCTATGCCAAAAACCTCCACTAGATGTCACAGTGTCAATCAACAGCACTTGTCACAACACTTCTTCTGACATGGAATCAAATAAATCACTCATGCCCTATGATTTAAAAATAACATTTCTGAAAACTTGTAATACAAAAAATGTTTGCTATTTTAATGTAATCAATCAACTGAGTGTCTGTCTTGCCGGGTGTGAAACGTTCGTTATTATGCAAATGTATGAGAGAAGCATTTTCTATCTGATTGGCTGATAAAGTAATGGTCCCGCCTCCCGTCCTTGAAAGAGGATTCTTATTGGAAGTTAATTGTCATTCAGGTGAAGCTGCAGAGGAGAGCGGTCACACGCGTAAATCAGTCTCCTCAGTTGAAAACACTTACCGGTAGTTATAGTTGTTATTTAGATCGTGTATTTAGTGATTTCGACAAGAAATTCACTCCGTGAATGTTTTTAAAAATATATTTGACTTAGTTTCGTTATTTATTTTGAGTTTGTGTGACATAAAGTGGTGCGATATTGTTTGTTTACATTTGAAAGGAAAGTTCGTTAATTCCGTTAAACGGCGAATGAACTTGGCACAGTGATTAGTAGAGGATTATATGCGGATGACATCGCTGGAAGACACTACAGAGGACTCTGATTCCCTCACGATCGAGAGTTCTCACCGAGATAAGGTGTATGATGACACATCCAGATAGCACGGAAATCTGATTCAGATTTTCACCGGAACAGACGACATCCTTCAGAGGCATTTCAGCGTCGGGACGAGTGAACCTGAGAGGACCGATCGTGGCCGTTGACTCCATTAACTCCGAGAAATTGAGGTACTATTATTTTGTTTGGCTCTATAGACTAGAGTAAAGAGGTCTACCTAGAGGTGCTACTAGAGAGTAAAAACTTGTCTATTTTTGTCGTGAGAAGCATATTGTTAGAAACCAACAGATTTTTTTTTTCGATAAGTACAATACACACACACACAAGCACACACTCTGTTAAAAGTCTTAAGATAAGTCTTAAAGTCTTAAGCTAAAAGCTAAGATTTAGCAGCACAGTAGCCTACTGAAAAAAGTACTGTTTTTACAGAAAAATACCACATTTCTACATTCCAGGGACATTTGTTAATTTACTTTACATTCTGGGTCATTTTGATTGAGCAGGAATGTTTTAACTGTCTGAGCAGCCTCAGAACAACACTGCCTTCCACACACCAATCAGAGTCAAGCAAATCATAGCACAAAGCAAAGAAACCTATCTGGAACATTGGAAAGAAGAAACTAAAAGCCAAAGTAGACTAGAATGCTATTTGACCCTAAAAAGAGAATATAAATTAGCAGAATATCTCTCTGCTGTCAGAGATAGAAAGCAGAGACAGATCCTAACCAGGTACAGGCTCAGTGATCACAAACTGGCAATTGAAACAGGAAGACACAAAAAATTGTGGCAACCAAAAGAAAACAGAACGTGTGATCACTGTTTGACAGGTGAGATGCACGTTCTCCTAAAATGTAAAGCGTTCAAAGACACAAGGAACCTTTACTTTAAGAAATTTAACTATATAATCCCAAATTTCATAGACCTGGATGACATTTCTAAATTAAACTTTCTCCTGGGAGAAGGAGACAAAACTTATCTTGCTGCACAATATATTCAAACATGCCACAACCTGAGGGGCAGTGAGTGAGTGATCGACACACACACACACACACACAAATATATCCAAATATTGTGTTAAATGTTTATGTATATATATATATACACAATAACATGCGTTTAATTTTAGACATGATAGATTACAGTGACCTTTTTCCGAATGATAGCTATTAGCTTCATACTTTTTATTGACTTTTATAAAGCTTTTGACACCATCGAGCATAACTTTATATTAAAATCTATTTCCTTTTTTGGCTTTGGTAACTATTTTTATAAGGCAATTCAAACCTTATATAATGGGTGTTCTAGTTCTGTTAAACTGGAAACAGGCACATCAGAAAGATTTAGTATATCACGTGGTATTAGACAAGGCTGCCTGGTGTCTCTATTTGTGTTTCTCTTAAAAATATTTCCCTTTTTAGGAATTAATGCTGTTGGTAAAAAGTTTAAAACTTGCAATTGCAATCTGGCCAGTCTTGATGGAATACCAATTCATGAAAAAGTGACATATCTTTGAAAAAATATAGAAGAACGTCATAAGTTAAATTTTGATCCAATTGTTAAAAAAATACAATCTAAACTAAATTTAAGGATTAAACTAAATAAAATACTGTATGATTATATCTGGAGGAAAAACTCCATTATCTCAAAAAAGATGTTATCACAGAGACCAAGTAGGTCTGGAAGTGTTGGACTTTCATACTATAAACGATACTTTTAAAATTAAATGGATTATATAATTCTTCATACCTTTTTATAATGTATGCAAATGTTTGAGAGAAGCTTTTCCTATCTGATTGGCTGATAATGTAATGGTCCCGCCTCCCGTACTTGAAAGGAGATTCTTATTGGATATTCGTTGTCATTCAGGTGAAGCTGCAGAGGAGACCGGTAGCACGCATAAGTTATTCCTCAGTTGAAAACACTTAGTTATAGTTGTTATTTAGTGATTTCCACAAGAAATTCACTCCGTGAATGTTTTAAAAAATATATTTGACTTAGTTTCGTTATTTATTTTGTGTTTGTGTGACATAAAGTGGTGCGATACTGTTTGTTTACATTTTGAAAGGAAAGTTCGTTAATTCTGTTTAACGGCGAATGAACTTGACGAAATACAGTGATTAGTAGAGGATTATATGTGGATAATATCGCTGGAAGACATAGGCTACCTATAGAGAACTCTGATTCCCTCACGATCGAGAGTTCTGGCACCGTGAGAAGGAGTATGATGACGCATCCATAGAGCGCGCTGAATTCCCGCGTGATTCAGATTTCCACCGGCACAGAGGAACAGACGACAGCCTTCAGAAGCATTTCAGCGTCGGAACGAGTGAACCTGAGAGGACCGATCGTGACCGTTGACTGCAATAACTCCGAGAAATTGAGGTACTATTATTTTGTTTGGCTCTATAGAGTAAAGAGGCCTACCTTGAGGTGCTACTAGAGGTTAGTAAAAATGTTTATATTTTTGTCGTGAGAGGTCGATTGCTAGGACCCATAGGCGTTGGAAAGGGGGGTGGATGGGCTCTCCCCTTCGCCCCCCTAGATTCACATAAGGAATAGGATTCAGTAAGGATTATTCATTAACACGCATTGTGTATCATTGTGCAATTTATAAGTGAAAAGGATTTTTTATGTTCATATGATACGCAGTTTTTGCGTGCATTTGATTTGCAGGTACTTTCCTGTTATCCAGACCCCACCATATACCATTTAGGAACTATAGTCATCCCTGATTGGTCTTAACCCCAGTGACGGGTAGGTTTAGGGGCGGGGTTAGGGGTAGGTCATCGTGGGGTCCGACAGGAAAGTACAGGCTGCAGTTCACGCGCCTCCTTTTCCTAATTATATTTTCAACTATATTTGCTTCTTGTTTATTTGTTGATGAAAACATTGACTAAAATGAAGATGCAATTTATACAAAACGAAATTCACTTCTGAAAACTTAATAAGTGGTCAGAAATATGTCTGACCCATTCCAAATGTTTTCCGATATATATGGTGACTCAACCACTGATGGATCAAAGAGCGCGCATTTCGTCATTTGCAGTAAAAAGTAAAAAAAACGAAGAATAAATTCTCATAAAATGCCTTTAATACCATTATATTGAAACGTCTGTTTATACTCCATTAATAAAGGAGTCCAGACATTGGAAAAATATCACTACACATGCGTTTTTATGTTTAATATGAGGGAAATAGACATGCATGCGTGACACAAAAAACTTTTAGGTAGCAAAATATTTGTAAAATTTTCTTATTGTTTTTTTTTTCTTTTTGATTAGGCTGCTGCAACTCTAAACTTTAACAACTATGTTAGTGGAGCCCATAAACACATGCATACACTAACCCTAACCCTAACCCTACACCTAAAACAAAACAGTTAAGATAGTTCACCATAAAACGAAAATTAATTTATCATGGTGTCCTAATGTTGTTTGCCTTTCTGTTTTATGACCACAAACCGAGAGTTACATTTTCTGCTCGCGCTCATCAATGTAATGGCATGGCTATGAACAGCCACCAGCAAATATTTTTTTCAAAACTACACAAAGGTATCACAGAATGAGCCTATGTGATGTAGTGTTCTCGTGTACGATATGAAATTTAGTCTATTATTTAACGAAAATCCTGACTCAAATGTGGGTTCATGACTCGCCCAGAAAAACACAATTTGCAAGAAATCAAGGTTAACAAAAATACAACAAAAATATTAGCCATAAATTCTTCTCTGAGGTGCATACCTGTTGTGTTTGACAAGTAGTTTTTTATGCTCACATCTTTCAACTCTCATTCTGATATTTAAGTCGGGGAAGAGAGTTCCTTGACACTTTTTAGGGGGATTTTTACTTGTTGTTTTCGGGCAATTCCATGCAAAGGTCATCTTTACCATGAAAAAATAAAGGTTAAGACCTTTATTATAGCCCTTTTAAATTCAACAGGCAGTAATAATGGCTTTATTGCCCACAGCCCAGTGCGCTTTGGAGGATTCAGTTCAGAACTGCTAACACAAGTAAAAAGTGTTAAAAAAAACTACAAACATGACAGATGTGCGTGACCGCTGGTTTAGATGAAGGGGTTTAAGAGGATAATAAACAATTAATCAGATAAAAAAATATATATAATATTTTATAAGGATCCGTTATGCCATGAACTTTTAAAAATGCATCATTATGTAATAATATGAGGAGAGTTCTTTGAATGAAACACCTGAAACTGGCTGAACAACAAAACATCGTCTTCTACCTGCTCCAATATGCATCTTTTCTCTCCAAGATGGTCCCTAAGCTTGTCTACTCATCTGCGGCACACTTAAAGTATGTACTTTTTCCTCCACAGATAGAGTACATACTGTTAGGGCATCGTAATTGCATCAGCCGATCTAAACCCTGTCTTTACATGTTGGACCAGTTCGAAGGAAGAGACAAAAGCCTGAGGTGGAGAATATCAATGTTCTTTATTTTTGATCAGTAGAGGGAACAGAGTAAAAGAAAAGAAGTCTCTCGATCTCTATAGCGTATTTGGGTATTAGGCAAGCAGAGAGTTCTTGTATCCAGTTCTTCGCTTCAGAAAGCAAAATAGGAAACAGGTTTTGCAGTTTGCATTGTCTTAAAAAGGAACCCTAGCCTTTAAGTAAGATACAGAAAAATAAAGTAGAGAGATAGGAGAATAGTACATAAGTGCATGTTGTGATGCAAATACTTGAAGTGTTATTACTCCTAAGCAGAAGCTGCAGAAAATAACTGCTTCACAACATCGTCTTGTGACGTATAAAACCTCGAAATTGTGACGTTTTCTTATCTCTTACTTATGAACACCAACCCATGGAGACCACACAATCATAAAATTAATCAAAAGCAAGCATTCTAAGAGTTAGAAAAATAAGTAATATGGAAAATCATCAAATGAATAATGTAAAATAACTGATTATATGATTTAATTGAATGAAAAATGATTCAATGAATAACAAAAACTAAGAAAATAAAACTCAATACAAGTGTTTGGTTGCTCTCTTGAAGCTACACACAGGTTAAGAATTAAGAATCCTCAGAGAACTTTATTCTGTTTCTTTATGGAAGTCCATTGCTAACGTTGACCATGTTTTCTCTCAGTAATAACTGATCTGAACAGAGGAAGGAATGGAACATCTTAACAAAATATAATGGATTAATAAATGTCAGATTTTGCATAAAGTGAAAAGTAGAATTTGGCATTTTCAGTTTCTTTGGCCACTTGCATTCACTTAATGAGCAGCAAGTGTAATTGTTGGATTATGACTAAACTCTGGAGGACATCAGTGGATCCGAAGAACTTTGATTATAATAGGTGGAGCTTAAAAAATTAGAATATGGTGCAAAAGTTCATTTATTTTAGTAATTCAACTTAAAAGGTGAAACTAATATACTGTATAGATGAGTCATTACATGCAAAGTGAGACATTTCAAGCCTTTATTTGTTATAAGTTTGATGATTATGGTTTACAGTTTATGAAAACCTTTTCACAATATTCTAATTTTGAATTTGGGGTTTTCATAAACTGTAAGTTATAATCATCAAAATTATAACAAATATAGGCTTGCAATCTCACTTTGCATGTAATGAGTCTATAATATATTAGTTAATAATGTTTGGAGTTTCACCTGTAGAGAGAAAGAGAAATACAGAAAACCCCATTCACATATACAAGAAAAGACATTTATCTGGCTCATCAATAATGTTAAAAACTGTTTCACATTACAAGACATGACCATTTTTTTTCCTCTTCATACAGTTGTTTAATGGTCTTCTTGAGCTCCTGAACCTGCAGATATTTAATTATTTTGAAATCATTGAATTCTTTTTCTTGTTTTCTGGCTTCATATTGATGTTTCTTCTTCATCTTCTCTATTTCCTCTTCATATTTCTGTTCCATTTCATCACACTCTTTTTCTATTGTTTCTATTATTTCTCTCTCCTCTGCTTCTCTTCTCTTAATCTCTTCTTCTTGCTCTTGTTTCAGATCTTCCATCATTTTTTCCCATATCTTTATCTTATCCCCTCGTCTGTCTTCATCCTCTCGTTTTCTCCTCTCCCACTCCTTTTTTCTCTTTTGCTCCAGCTCATCATAATGGCTCTTCATTTCCTTTCTCTCCTCTTCATATTCTGTCTCTTTTTCTTCTATCTCTCTTTTATGTTTCTGTTTCTCCTCCTCTATCATCTGTCTTTCTTCTCCTCTTTCAGTTTCAAATCTCTTTCTCATTTTCTCCAGTTCTTCTTGTTTTTCTCTCAGTTTTTCCTCGTGTTTCTCTTTTCTCATTCTTTCCTCTTCCTCTCGTTCTCTCATCTGTCGTTCATTCTCTTCCTCCCAGTCCCTCTGCTGTCGTTTAATTCGCTCTTGAATCTCTTCATCATCTTCCGCCTCTTTTATTTTTCTCTTCCATTCTTCTCTCTCTTTCTCTTCTTGTTCCTTCCTCGTTTGTTCCTCTAAATCTCCCTCTTTTATTTCCTCTTCCTGTTTTCTTCTTAACTCTGCCATTATGTGTTCCTGCTCAGTTTTCATCTTTTCTTCATCTTGTTTATATTCTTCTTCTTTCTTCTTATCTTCCTCTTCTCTTTGTTTGTGTTGTGTATCATACTGTAATCTCAGATTTTTAATCTCTCTCTCCATCTCTTCTATTGTTTGATCATATTCAGCTCTTCGCTGTTCTTCCTCTTCTGATCGCTTCTGTTCCTCTTCCTCTTGTTTCTTCAGGTCTGATTCTTCTTTCTTCTTAAACTCTCTCCTCAGTGTTTCCTCTTTTTCTCTGAACTTGTCCTCTAGTTTCTCTCTCTCCTCGTCTGTCTTTAGTTTCTTCTCCTCTAGTCTCTCTCTCATGTGTTTGATTTCCATCTCATATCTGTCTTCTAATTCTTCAACTTGAGCCTGATTTTTTCTCTTATTCTCTTCCAGCATTTCCCTTCTGTTTTCAATAGGGATCGCTGCCTCCTCAAACATCTCATTAGTGAAGTATCGGCCCTCGTTAGATTCCTTCACCTCTTCTATCATGTTTAACAGACGTGTAACTTGTGTCCGATCTCGTGTTTCTCGGTTGTTAAAGGCCAGGAATCTGTTTCCACAGTCACTGATCAGTTTCTTGAGTTCATCATTTGTACTTGTCTCGACATATTGTTGTATTGTCTGTTCTTTCAGTTCATCTCCTTTAGTGAAGAGAACAATGCTGAAATCTGCTGCTTTTGGGCCAAATATCTTCATTATCTTGTATAAAGTGTCTTGCTTCTCTTGAGTGATTCTTCCCAAACTCAACACAATGATGAACACATGAGGTCCAGGTGCGGACAGTGAAATACACTTCATCATTTCTTTCTCCACTTGTTCATGTTTTTGTGAGGTGTCAAGGAGTCCTGGAGTGTCTATAACAGCTACTAATTTACCATCAATTTCAACAACTCCCTTCTTACAAACAGTGGTCACCAAACCTTTATTATCTTTACTTTGAAACTCATTGTTTCCGAGGATTGTGTTTCCTGTGGCGCTCTTTCCATTTCCTGTTTTCCCAAACAGCAAGATTCTCAAACATTCAGGATCTGATGGTGGATCTTCATCATCTGAAAATTACAATAGTAGAGTTTAGAGATTAACAATAATTTATTCAATTTGAGACATTGAACAAAAAGTGTTAAAGCGGGGGGGGGGGGGGGTAACTGCGATTTCACTTTTTTGATGTTAAATAGTGTGTAATGTTGCTGTTGGTGCATGAACAGTATCTGCAAAGTTGCAGCGCTGAAAGTTCAGTGTAAGCAGAGATATCGTCTTTTAAAAATCAGGAAGTATAATTGCCTACAAAAACGACTGGATTGGGACTACAGCTGGGTTATAGACGTCACTAACCCACACATTTGCATCAACCCTCCCTCAGAATATGCAGAAAAGGACATGGCCATATTTCTACAGCTCCAGCTCGTCGAGTGTGTTGTTCACCCAGCTGTCAGGTCTTCTGTGTTTGAGCTTCCCACGGACGCTGTACTTCGTCAACAATGGATACTATTTGTGTTTGATTATGTTCCTGAAAATGACGATGGTAATCTAACTCTCTGTGCTGCGCATTTACGAAAGACAGCTTCCAGAATCTCCACGAGTTCAACACCGGATTCAACAAGAAACTGTTACTAAAACATGAAGCAGATCCGACTTTAAAACCAGAGGCAGCAGTTGTTGGGCCACAACCTGTAAGTAGGCTAAGACTTCATCATTTTAAATGTATTTTCATGTATAATTCCAGACGTAACCTTGTGTTTTATTTTTTTCAAATGCCAGCGCTGGCTTTAAAGCCACTAGGCTAACTTTACTAGTTATGCTATTTTGTGTCTACGACAAACGCGTACAAACATTATGGACCTGAATTTTGTATAAGTACAAATATCTTAAACGTATTTCATATATATATACTTTATGACGTTATTTTCGATTTGATCAAGAACGTAAACTTGCCAGCGCTGTTTGTGTTTAACATTAGAAGCTAGTCAGTTGCTATTGTTGCCAGTCAGATGCTATTGTGTTAAACAAACGTGCATAAAGTTAAAAAAATGTAGCAAATTATCATTCAGAAACGTTTAGTAAGAGTGTGTGGTGAGGTTCTGTTTGACTCTCTTCATCGCCGCTTTCTCGGTCTGATTCTGCCTCAAACCGATACTGCAGTCTCAACATCATTATTTACGTGTATCCACCATCTATGGTATCCACCTTTGGCATGCGCGTTTCGCCCGTAAAGGTAATGGCCGTTAACCTTCTGGACAACGTGAGCGACAGTTTAGCCAATCACAACACACCGGGCCAACCTAACCAATCTGAGCCCCTTTTTGAGTGACCCCCATTGCTAAAATATCAAAAGGATAAACAATGCAGATTTATTTCACAGCCATATTTATAATTCTGACCTTGAGGGTGTGAGTCTGCATTGTGTGTTTCTTCTTTTCTTCGTTTTTCCTCTTGTTTCTGTTTTTCCCATTCCTCTCGTTCTCTCTTCATCTCCTCTTGTATCTTCCTTTCAAGATCCTCTATGTCTTTAATGTCTCTTCTATACTGTTCTTCTCTTTCTATATATTCATCTTCTTTTCTCTTTCTCTCTTTTTCATGATTCTGTCTTTCTTTCTCCATCTTCTCCTTCATTCTCTCTTTCTCTTCTTCGTGTTTGAACTGAAGATCTTCTTTCTCTCTCTGTCTTCTTTCTCTCTCTTTTTTAAGTTTCTCATAATATTCATCCCATGTTACCTTGTCTATTTTTCTCCTTCTCTCATCCTCTTCTTCTCTTCTCTTTCTTTCTTTATCATGATTCTGTCTTTCTTCCTCCATCATCATCTTCATTCTCTCTATCTCTTTACTATGTTCATCCCTCATTGCCTGTTTTTCTTTCTCCTTTTCTCATCCTCTTCATCTCTTCTTTGTCTTTCCTCTTGTTTCTGTTTCTCCCATTCCTCTCGTTCTCTCTTCATCTCTTCCCGCATCTTTCTCTCTTCGTCCGCTCTTTCTTTTATTTCTGTTTTATATATTTTTTCTCTCTCTATACATTTCTCTTTTATTGTCTTACTTTTCTGTTTTTCATGCTCTATTATTGTCTTCATCTTCTCTTTTTCTTCTTCATGTTTCTCCAAGAGCATCTTCATTTCTTCCTCTTGTATTTCTCTTTCCATCTCTCTGAACATCTTACATGAGTAGTAACTGTCTCCGTTTTCTTTCACCATGTTGTCTATCTTCTTCAGTAGATCAGACACTTGTGTTCGGTCTTCAGTCTGATTATTATTGAACATATGGTATCTGTTTCCACACGCTTCAATCAGGTTTTTAAGTGCAGGTTCAGGATTTCCCAGATACTGTTCAATGGGTTTGTTCTTCAGATCGTCTCCTCTGGTGAAGAGCACAATTGTGTACATTAAAGATTTCTCACCAAACGTCTCTTGGATGATCTTCACTGCTGTTGCTTCTTCTTGAGTGAATCGTCCCACTGGGATCAGTAGGAGAAACACATGTGGTCCAGGCAGGATCATGGAGATGCAGTTGCTGATTTCTTGCTGGATCTTCTCATTAGTAAGTTCAGTATCAAACAGTCCTGGAGTGTCGATCACAGTAACATGTCGGCCGTTGATTTCAGCTCTTTCTCTCTGACACTCTTTAGTAATAGACTTTTGAGATGTATCCGATATAAATGCTTCTCTTCCTAAGATGGTGTTTCCAGTTGCACTCTTCCCAACTCCAGTTTTTCCCACCAGCACAATCCTCAGATCATCTGCTCTCTCCCGTGAATCTAAAGATAGATCAAATAAAAATTTAAAACAATATACCGGTAATGGATTTCAAGTGATTATTGTTAATCATACAGATCATCAGAGATTATTGTGTATAATTTATACTGAAGCATCATGACATGTGCTTATATTATTTCTTCTGAACTTTGAATGTAATGTTATTGTTTTATCTCACAACTCTGTTAAGACATTTGCGATCATGAAAAGTGATTAAATCATGCAGATTTTCTGATCATTACCTTTTGACTGAAACCATGTCTGTAATGAATGGATTCTCTTCTTCATTTCTTCAAGTTTCTGCAGTTTTTCCATCTGTACTTCCATCAATGTCTCTGTGGAGAAACAAACACCTTTATTTTCCTCAACCATCTGCTTTAGTTTCTCCATTAACACGGACACTTGTGTGTCGGGGCCGATGATATGATGTCCTCCAAAACTCTCAATGACAGACTGTGTTTCTTCATTCAGTTCTTCTGTCTTTTCCTCTGAATTCTGGTTTATGAGGATCATGATGTGTTTGTTGATTCTTGAGCTGAATATCTTCTGGATCTTCTCCATTTCTGCTTTGTCTTCATTATTAAGTGGAGCATCAGAAATAGTGAGGAGGAAAACATGAACTCCAGGATCACAGAGAGACACACAGCGGAGAATCTGACGCATCACTTCCTCCTCTGAGATCTGTGTGTTGATCAGATCTGGAAGCTCCACCAGAGACACCAGACGTCCATGAAGCTCCACGTCTGTCCTCACACACTCTCCGGGCTCTGATCTTCTGTCTCCGGCGTTCAGGATCAGGTTTGATATGAAGGATTTTAATCTTCTGTTAGTCCCACACAGAACCAGATTCAGCTTCACACCCTCTGGAACTGACAAAGGAATAATCTAGGTTTAGGTTAACACTTGTGGTTTTAACTTTTTCAAAAACCTTTGTCTGGTCTGAACTTAACTTTATCCTGTGGAAACACTGAAGAGAAAGCTATAACCTTGTGACCATTGTGAAATCAAGTAAAAACAGGTAAAATGGTATTGGCTTTGAAAGGGAGTTCAGCGATCTTCATTTTAGATTTTCTAGTTAAATGAAGGTTTCATCAGTGTCTGTGTTATGTCACGAGAAGCTTGCACTAAATCTACGATCAAAGTGCAGGCTGATTTCCTGCAGTGGTTTTCAAACTGAGAACAAATTGCTAGTTTTGCCATTCATTTAATTCTACTCATTTTTAAAATGCCATGAATACACACCATTCAATCAAATTGCCTTATCTTTTGTTGTCAAAACTGACTGCATTCACACAAACCAGCAAATTGTGCTACATTAGTGTGGTTCTCGACAATACACCTTTGTAAAAGTGGGGATTTAGCACTTACTAGCATGACAAATATAGACACAGACTGTGCATAGAGATCGATTCAAAGGTGCAGTGTGTAAAATTTATGAGGATCTATTGTCAGAAATCCATGGTAATATACATAACTATGTTTTGAGTGGGGTATAAAGACCTTAAAAATTAATTATGTTTCTGTTACCTTCAGACAGCCCTATCATCTTTGAGGATCTACAGAATGAGCCAATGAATGTTGGCGTCTGTGAACCGTGTTACGCGCCCTGCCCTGCAGTGTGGGTATAAACACGGAAGCGGGTGCACGCACCCTTGCCTCTTAGTTTAAACAGACTGCCTTTGACGTTGAAGACTCTTCAAACCTTTCCTCTTCAGTGTTGATGCGACGGTGCAATCAGTGAGTGGCCGCAAGCATTATAGGCTATGTGCACAAGTGTAGTTTCGAACTTACGCTTTTGTCAGAAGTCGGCATATCAGTTTCCGATCTACGACTGGTCATCTGCATCCACTAATAAACAAACGAGATGAGTGCTGCTGTTGTACGAAAAGAAGAGTTCTTAAACACATCTAAGTTTCTAAGAACTGTAGGTGGATCTAACGCCCGTTTCACACCCGTTTGCAGTGTGTGTTGCGGTGCAGGAGCGTGCTGTTAGTGCGTTCACATATTATGATGCGTTTGCACAGTGAATAACTCAGCACCGCGTCACGGAGAGACACACCTTTCAAATTCGAAAACATTATTCTCTATGAGTGTACACACACCGGCGGCGCCATTCGGCGTCTGTCCGCGGCGCCCAGCAACGGCTCAGTACCGTGTTCAAAATCCTGCTGAGCCACAGAGCGCCATTTGCATAGTTTTATATAAAGTTTAAATTGTTTTTGTCTCACATCGTTGCTAATGTATCCTGACTGCGCCCTATGCTGCAATATGCATGTAGTTTTGCATTCATTAAAGGCGCTTTTCCACTGCATAGTACGGTTCGGTTCGGTACGGCTTACTTGTGGTGCTTTTCCACTCCATGGTACGGTACAGTACGGTTCGCTTCAGGTCGCTTTAAATGGTACCTGGTCTGTTGAGGTTCCAAGCGTACCGTACCGGTACTAAAATGTGACGTGAAACACTGCAGATCACTGATTGGTCAGACAGAATCGTCACTACCAGCGTCACTACTAGCGTCATTGGATTTGCGACACGAGACACTTTTTTAGCAGTATTTTTGTTTTGCTGCCATCAGCCTCATTTTAAACACATTTTTCCGTCTAGCAGTTAAAAACAACCACTGCAGTGGAAACGCAAAGCAAGCCGAACTGTTCCGCGCCGAGTCGAAGCGTACTGAGCCGAACCGTACCATACTATGCAGTGGAAAAGCGCCATTACAGAAATCAGCTGCTTGAATGACATTTGCTGATGTTATTGGATTTTTCAGTTGAGATTCTCAATTCATTCGAGTTAAAGGAGCTAAACGCAAGTATCTGAGTTTTTGCAGAACTACGCCCTCTCTGGCGACAAGTGAAACTGCGTGCGCGCTCACACACACATACATATTTGCACGAGCTGTTCATAACCAAAGGAGCATCAGCTGCACACTGTGCGGCACACATATTTTGTTACAGTCATAATGAGGTAATACAGAAATAAATCTGCAAGTCATTTAAAATATATGAAAGGAAAGGCATTCGAGTACACACTTATGTGTGTGTGAGGGGAAAACAGGGGTAGTAGAAATCTCTATATTGAACTGTTTTATGTGCTTACTGTATCTCCACGTATGATTGTATAATTATGGAAACACGTTCATGAACAATATAAGTTATTACATTGTATAGGACCCGTTTGAGCCCTAGAGCCGACCGGAGATCTCTTTGTTGAAAGCTTCCCGATGTTGACTCTCGTCTTATTCCGACGACTGGCACTGGACAGACAGAAGTTGTATTTTCTTTGTCTCACGTGGAGTTTGCGTTGGGGTTTGGAATGAGCTACAAGCCAGTCTATTTGGGGCTGTTTTCACCAATGTGTTAAATCGGATAGCTCTGATTTATCAAAACGATTCCATTACACCTGGTCACATAAATGTATTTTTACAAAACGGATGTAATCTGATCTTCAATTCCCTCGCTAGGCTACAGAATTCATGAAGTGCACGTCACCGAAAGCAACAGATATGAGCTGCATTTTATTAATCATCGGCTAATTTCAAAATCAGTAAAGACGGCAATAAGAGAGAGCGGCAACAGCCCTGGTTGCATGGTAAGATCATTTCATTTCTTTACTTTTAATGAAGATGGTAGTGTTAAGAGTCTGCGACTGCGACTTACTTTCACTTTGATTTGCGATAGATTGCGGCGCTGGCTTTATGAATAGACGCTCAGCTGATCATCTGAGGTGATGATTTTTGTTTTAATGTAGTGTCATAATAATATGTTGTCGACTCGAATTAATTACAGTTGATTAAGATTATTAATAAGGCAAGACTAGTGATGCACTGATGTGAAAATATCACATTAGCCTAAAACAAAAACATTTCAAAAACTGTAAAATGTTTGGTTACATAAAAATGAAACATTAATAAATTATTTTATGATAAGTGAACTCATTTATAGTTATAAATGCAAATAATAATTTGTCATCATTAATATTATTATTAGCCTACATTTAGGCTAGGAGAATCCGACTAAATTAAGCAATTCGTCAAATATCAGCTATAATACAGGTTAGACAATACTAAATTGGGGCCAAGATTATTACAAAAAAACACAAGATTTTGACAGATATCCAAGTGTGTGTGCGGAGTGTGGAGCGCACTGGACGGATGCGCCGGCGGGAACACTTGTGTGTTCCTATCAACAGTGGAAACGACTTAAAATACTCGATCATTTCTGGTCATACAGAAAATAGCAATACATCATTCGCAGCTACTTTTATTTGTGTAAACTCACAATAACAAGAAATCATTGTGCTTCTGTAAAATAAAATAAAACAATCAGGCGTGCTTTCATGGTCTCCGTGAACTGGATCGAGTCGAAAATGAACTGAAACAATATATAGCCTAATGTTAGCTATGTAGGCTAAAGCCTGAAATGTCCTCTTTTAAACTAACAAATTCGAATTCGAAAGCAAACGTCGGATTAATCCATAGCTCTGAATTCCTCTCTAAAGGCACATCCACTTCACAGCGGAGATGAGATTAGCAGACACTAATTTAGAAAACACTAGTTTATTAAAAAAAAAAAATTTAAATGCATTGTTATTTTTTCAGACACATAATCACCTATAGACGAATCCGGCGAAACTACCGGAAGTAAGCGGGCGCCATTACTGAGCTGTTGCTGGGTAGCGTTGCGCCATTGCCTTCTATTGTTTTAGTTGCAACTTGCGTCCACTGGAATAAACAGCTCGCGATTTACGACTGTCACTAACGTTACAACGTTAGCCCTTGTATAATGTCGAGTGGGTAAACAGTTTCCGTTATAAATTGTTTTAATGGTGGCAGTAAAATTTCAATTTTGAAGAGAAAACATTGTGAATACCCCGGGTCGACTGCCACTGTCTGGAGCCGTACGGTTTACACAGATTTCCTGGGCGAGTACAAGACGCGGACATTCGCGTATAATAACAATTATTTAATGACATAAGTAAAAAAATATAATAAATGTGTGATATAGTGATCAGCAAAATCTCCTCTCTTGTTATTTTTTCTATTCAATTTACATGCTATGGTTATTAAATGGCTTTCCTGGGCTGAATGTAACGTTATGTGACATAATTGTTCTCCTGCTGTTATATTGACTTCTTTCCATGGTTTAAAAACAGTAGTTGGTCGATATTATGTATACTTTCTAGCTGTAACGTTACCTTACCCATGCCCGTTGCAATGTAAAAATGAGATAAATAATGGACACAAATGAAAAACATGAAATTGTTTATTTGATTTCCTTTATTTATTTATTTATTGTTGCCAAATGGACAGATCTTTTTTTAGTTTCCTCGGTAGCAAACGTTAGCCTAGCTTGCTTGCCAAGCTATTTTCATAAATAATCTGTAAGATCGTTTGTACCTTCATCTGTGACTGGAGGCCAATGTCTAACATCATCAACCCAACAAGTCTGCCTGGCTGTAGCTGTCATCAAGGGTGCGTTATCACCTTATCTCCGAGGTTTCTTTACATACTGGTGCATATGTCTATGCCGGTGTAACAGCTCAGTAATGGCGTCGCCACAAGATGGCAGCCTACACAAGAACGCTCGTCGGATTCGTCTATAGCCTAATCACCTCTCTGTATGGGCCTAGAGACAGAAACTGATTTTTTTTTTTTTCCCCATATTACTTTGTGAATATTTTAAATGTTTAATAAGGGGGCAAAAAGTCATATACTAAAATCTGAAAATACATCTATATATATATATATATATATATATTTTTTTTTTTTTTTTTTTTTGCGCAGCATTTGGTGTGCCTACAGTTCAAATACAAATGTTGGTGTTCAACTTGTTGTGTTTTAAAAATAGCCTGCAACAACCGTTCATTTTTT